GGCTTTGTGTGTGCTAGGCAAGCACTCTACCACTAAAGCTACATCATCAGTTCCATGTGTAGTTTTTAATGACAGGAAGAACAGTAAGCAAACATACTTCCCATTTCACATTTAAAAATAAGGTGAATTTTTATTACTTAAAAAATTATTTCTTGATTGTTCCCATTGGTAACCCAGTTTAATAAATGAAACTGTTTATATTCCAAAAGTTTTGTTGGACTTTCACAATAGGAATTTGGCATATTGGATGCAGTCTTGGCTAATTTGTTCATATAATACTTATGATTATGTTAAAAAGCATGATACTGTGTATATGGGTTGTACTGAGATTTAACCTGGGGGGCTCTAACACTAGGCTACAGCCCTAGCATCACCACCAGGCTGCCCTGGAACTTGGAATTCTCTTGCCTCAGCCTCCTGAGGCATTGAGATTACGGGCCTGCACCATTGTGCCAGACTGGAAATATTGTCTAAAAATGATCATTTCTAATTGTTCTTCCATGAATCCTTAAACTCCCCATCAGAGTTCTTTATTTATTAAGCCAAAAAGTCTTTCAAGTGATGAATGGAGGGTAGCTTATTTTTGTTTAGTCTTACATTTGATTCTTTTAGTCTCAAAAGATTAAAAAATGTGAACATGGCTAAGCATGACTGTGTTACCATCATATGATAAAAATAGGACACAGTCCATACTTAACACTTGTTTGATCAGACAGTATAAATCTTGGAATCCTATTCAGCATGTTTGGAGAAATTTCCATTTCTATTTGGAGTACCCTGTCTGTTGTCACAGAAATGGCCTCTCGTCCATCATGTTCTATGTTACGTGTACCATTTTAGTAATAATTAGAACATGTGTAATGACCTGATACGGTTTGTAGAAACAGCTTTTAGTATGTTTTTTCACTTTCCACCAAAAATATCTTCCCACATTCTCTTAGTCCAGTCAAGTGATCTCTTATTAAATGACACTGGCTAAGTTGAAGATATCATGGTAGTTGACTGAAGGGTAGCAAAAAAGTCGGTGTATAATGTATTACCTGTAGAAATCTATGGTTCTTGAATAAAAATTGTTAATTGCCTCTTAGGGGAGAGAACGTAGAAGATGCTTTCCTTGAGGCTGCCAAGAAAATCTATCAGAACATTCAGGATGGAAGCCTGGATCTGAATGCTGCCGAGTCCGGTGTACAACACAAACCGTCAGCCCCGCAGGGAGGCCGGCTAACCAGTGAGCCCCAACCTCAGAGAGAAGGCTGTGGCTGCTAGTGACCTCTTTGCTGTGGCCCCTCATTTGACCTTTCACCTCTGTCTGTTGGAAGCAGTACTTTTTACTGCCACGTTGTCTTCTGTACATCTTACTGGGTTTAATTAAAAAAAAAAACAAAGAAAAAAAACAACTCTGTTGTAAAAACAGTTTAACACAATACTAAACTGCTAAACAACTAGATGTAATCAGGTTATCAAAGGCAAGTAGAGTAATAAATCTCTCCTGCATGGTAAATCTAGACTTTTTTTTCCCTCCTCGATTGTCTTTGTGATAGATATGTCACCAATATATGATTTAAACTGAGCACTGATGCTGGACTTGATGATTTTTACCTTCCCTCTTTGGCAAGGCATTGTCTCACTGTACGGTTTAATTTGCTGATATCTTCAGCCTTTCTCCCTCACTTTGACTGTTTGTCTGTTGTAACCAGTAAGTTCATTGCTGTGAAATGACTTCTGATGGTAGAGAAGGGGTTCTACAACTGCTTTTGTTTTGTTTTGTTGGATAAATTCCCTGTTGTCAGGTGGCATTTTTCTTGATGAGGTTTGCTTCTGTCTTAGCCTTGCACAGGGAGAAATATCCATTTATCTTTTCTCTCGTGCTTAATAGCTTTATCTCTTTTTTTTTTTTACACACCATTTATCCTTTTCTCTTTAACAGAAAGTAAATATGTATAAAATTTGAAGGAACCGAACTAACAATACATCCTGTGTATATTATTTTAATGAAGAAAATAAATTGATTACTGGCATTGGAACAGTATAAAAATACCAGTTTGTACAGTATGACCTGTATGTGACCATGTTACTCCCTGCCATTTTACACAAGGAAATAGACACAACTGCAGTTCACAAGTAATACTGGCTCCACCCCTTGGTGCTGGCAGTGTTTGGGGACATTATGCTGGAAAGAGCTCCTAGCATCAGCAGATTAACACTAGCAGATTCTGTTCCATCTTTGCACTGTGGCTTACCTGCTGATTTTCTTAACTGTTCTTGTGCAATCGACAATGTGCTAACCTGCTTTTCTCTTTTTGTAAACATTTTGCATTACGGGCTGCATTCTTGCCTTACTGTATAGAAAAAGAAAAAAGGCTGGGTTTATTATTGCACATTTTAAGCTTTTATATCTTTATCTTCTTGGAATGGTCGAGATTGTGAACCAGATAGCCAGAACCATAGGTCTGCTGTTAAGGGATTTTAAATTGTGCATTTTTAACACCACAGTGAAATGGGATTATCCCTTGTGTTCATAGTGGGAGGGGCTAGTTTATGTCATGTTGGCATAAATCATTTTGTAAAAGGGAAAGTGTTTCTAATGGTGTTTCAGTGTTTGTGCTGATACAAAGTAAGTTATTACTTTGCACTAGGTGATTTGGCCACTGAAAGAATACATAATTTTAAGAGAAACAATCTTCCTTCTTTAGAAAACTGTTTTACTAAGTTCTTCACTTCTGTTGATTGCTTTTTAATTGAGTTTATGGTTCAGTGGCTGGGGATTGAGAAGTTACTGGAAGTGTAGGATAGGTAAACCTGAGCATATTATATAAAATGCGCTCAGCTCAACTGCTGTGTTTTAAATACACATTTTAAGTCCCTATTTACAGACACTAACGTAAAGTTACATCTTTCTGGGCTATAAACCTGTCATAGTTCCAGAGTATTGTATAGTCAATGTTAAATAAAAGCCAAAACTGGAATGTGCAGAAAAATAGGATTTGGTTTATTTGTGGACTCATTTTTATTTTTGTCTCTGTTAAACTTTTTTAAGGAGATTCCTGGAGTGGATTAGGATATTCTGTTAGGCTTACAGTGGTCCATTTTGCTTACACTGTTGCATCACAAGGGATTTGCCCAGGGACCATGACCTGCTGGTGTGTGTAAATATTTACAAAAACAAAACAAACCACCTACTGGGATATAAGGTAGCAATCACAAACTAAAGCCTCCTTGTTTAGGTGCAATACCCTGATTCCCAAAGTTAGTTACAGTGGGTCTTAATTGTTTTTGTGACAGAAGGATTTATTCAGACTGCTGTACTCTTCATTTGATGTAACAAAATGCTATTAATCTAAATATTTGTAAATAAAGTACCTGTATCTAGATTAAATTAAAATTGGTTGCATTATTTTCTGAACTATAATAGGATTTATTTTCTTCAGGTCAGTGGTTTTTTAATGTTTAAGTGTTCAGTTTTTATTGCATAACTGTGCTTATTCATTGTATGAAGAGGTCTACATATAAAACCACATCAATAAGTAATTGAGCTAGTTTTGTCCTAATATTTACATAACCCTTGGATTATTTTCATTGACCTTCAGTTTGAGGTCAGCATATTTGGTGGTTGGTAATGTTCTCCCTTGACTGTACGTGGGGCCAAATTTTATTATCTGCATGTGTAAATCCCTATAATAAACTTGGGTGCTCAAAAGTGAGGAGCAGATTGTCCTGTTGTAACATGAGTGTGCCAGACACTGGGTAGGCAATACACTTTGGAGAGAATGCAACTCTTTTAATTTTTAACCCCAAAGCGCTTCCTGCTTGTGCAGTCACCTGTTTGTTTGGATTACTCATTGCCCTGCACCCTTGAGGAAGCCCTTGAGTTAGTTATTGGTGCTCAGTACTATTTATACATTAGACATTCCAGTACAATGTTCAAGTTATTTTTCATGGATAATAAAATGTTTGATGCAGTAATGTTGATTTTATTTTTGGTGGAGGTGGGATCGTTGGAGTCATATACAAAATACTAGTGGTAGTAAACAATTTTTTGGGAAAGATGTATATTGAAACCACTTATTTGACTTCATACATTCATTACTTCACTTCTCTAATTCCATAAGGCCATAGTTTTTAGACTTTTTTCCCCCCATATATCCATTGTTTTAGATGTAACCTTTATAAAAATAAAATTGTCTGGTCCACTCACCTTAAACAGAAGACCAAATATCTTCCATTTCTGTCTATTTTGGAATATGGAGAGGGTTCATGTGGCACTTTAAATTTAATTTAATCTACATTTGCAGCATATAAAACCACATCAATAAGTAATTGAGCTAGTTTTGACCCACATTCAACACAGGCCTGAAAACTGCCCTTGAAGAATGCCAAAATTGTGAATGGGCTAGGCCTTTAAACCATTTTGCTAAGAGTTGCAAAAGTAAAATGAAGGAAAATGTAAATACAAAATACAAACCAAGGGGCTGGGGTTGTGGCTCAGTGGTAGAGCCCTTGTCTGGCATCTACGAGGCACTGGATTTGATCCCCAGCACCACATAAAAATAAATAAAATAAAGGTATTGTCCATCTACAGCTAAAAAATTAAAAACAAAAAACCTCGACAAAATACAAACCAAGTTTTGTTTTAGAAACATGCCTTCTAGAACATACTAAATCAGTAATTGTATGTGACTTCCATTATCTTTACTGAAATTACATTTGTGTATCTTAATGATCCAGTTCTAACCATACTATAGGAATCTAAAACTTTGGTGGCAAGGGATTATTACACTGTGCTGTTCTGCATAGTAACATGATATAATGCCAGTTCTGGCTCAAAAGTTATTTGGTGGGCTAGAAAACAGTTCTTGGGAATATTTAAAAACCTCTATTACATATTTACCCTTTGGGAATAATTCTGATGCCACACAACTGGGATGGTATTTTTATTTTTCCTGTAGTACTGGGGTTTGAATCCAGGGGGTGCTCTACCGCTGAGCTACATTCCTGGCTCCTTTTTTTTTTTTTTTTAAATTTTGAGACAGGGTCTCCCCAAGTTGCTGAGGCTGGTCTCTAATTTGGGATCCCTTTGCCTCCCAAATAGGTGGTATTATAGGCATGTGCCTACCTGTTGTTCTTGGTTTTAGAGAAATGTATAGGTCATGGAATTGAGCTGTTAATTATAATTCCAAAGTTTAATAAAAGTCTGACTACAATATGAATTTATGTGACTGGGTTAGTGTTTATAAAGAATAAAGTTTTCCTAACTTCCCCCCAAAGAATATTATTGGCCAAGGAAAAATGTCTGAAACATAATGATTTTATATTATTTTTGAATCAAGAAACATTCATTGGGAAATAGAACCTACTTCCAGGTAAAGGATAGTAAAACCAACTGGAAGATGGTCATTTTCTTGGAAATAAGGCAAAATTTGATGACTTTCAGATGTCACAGATCTATGAAATTTAGATGACAGACCCAAGTTGAGTGTATCTTTTATTTTTATATGAAAAATAGATTTTAAGTTAATCCAAAAATAACTTGAAACTATATAAAAGAAGAGGGGCTTTTAAGTTAAGTACATTCTTTGCAACTAGATTTACCAGTGTATAGATTCAAATAATGCCATTAAGGTCGGCATTGTCTTTATAAAAACACACCACAAGATTAAAAACAAAGGTTTCAGCCACCTAGGAAACTGGTTTAAATTGTTTACAACTATTCCCATATATACAAGTGGTTTACAAAAACATTGGCATTAATGGTACAAAAACACAGTAGAGTGCACTTTCAGCATCTTGATTCACTGGAACTTGATAAAACCACACAACAATGCAATTTGGAAGTTAGTGAGGTAGTGGAGAAAGTGTCCTCAGATTTACACAAGACAGCACTCCTCGTCCTGGTGGGCCATCCTTTTCCTACATTGTAAGACAAAAGATGGAAAGGATGAATTAAACTCTTTTAACAGTGAAAACTGTCTTAATAGGCGATGGCACAATGGCTGACAGGAAAAAAAATTGCAAATTTGAGTACCTCTGGACTGTTTCTTTTCATCCACGGCCTCATGCAAGCTAGGCAAGTGCATTACCACTCATACATTTTCAGCCCCAAAAGTTTAAGGTGAACCACTTTAAGATTATGAGAAAAAATTAAAGTGTTTTTTTTTTTTTAAGACCTCTGGAATTGAAGATTTTCCAATTAAAAGTGCTTGGTTTTAAAAGATCTCATGTGCTAGAGATGTGGCTCAGTGGTAGAGGAGTGCTTGCCTACCATTGAAGGCCCCAGGTTCAGTCCCCAGTACGTAAGGAGGCGGGGTGGGAAAGAAATAGAACTTTTTAACATGTACCCTATGAGCAGGAAGCTGTTAATGGCATCCGTGTTGGTAACTGACTGGCAGTTCTGATGGACCTTGTAGAACCTGGAAGGAGCCCTGAAAAGAAATGTATAAAACATCAGGCCCAAAGGCCAACCCCCCACTTCAAGCTAGTTCAAACCTTTATCCCACAGAAGGCTGGATTTCAGCCCCAGATTTTTAAACAATTCCAACAGCTTTGTCCTACTCATGCTCCAACATCTCTCATTTTCTGGCATTCAGAGCATCGGAGTTCTGGATGCAATCTTGAGCTGATAATTAAACCTGGCCCCTAAACCTCCACGTGCTCTTCTCACAACTGAGCTGCTACAGAGCCCACCTATGTTTCCATGCCCAGTGCTTCACACTCTTCCTTAACTGCCCTGAGGCCATGATGGTTCTGGCCTTTTCTGCACTAGGGTCCCACTGCAGAGTTAAGGAAATCATATTCAAATCTTGGTTCTGCTACTAATTAGCTTTGTGACCTAGGTAAGTCACTTGCTCCTCTTTGGCCTATTAAAGAAGTTAACCTTGAATGTTCCTTGTGGTTCGACCATTACAATAAATAGCTCAGATCAGACCTTAATCCTGGTTTTGTCTTCTGCTACATCCTTAATCAGGTCATTTTTTTTTTTTTTTGTATAAAAAGACATCCCAGAGTGTAAGGATAAAATGGGCTGTTATCTGTAAAGTGTTAACATAGGTGTGTAAGTCTCACACAGAAAACCTTTATGAAATTCAGTCTGTTACAGTTCAAAATTTTTACTGCAAAATAATATTAGGCACTATTATTAATAATCATCTTTCCCCAGGACACGGGAAACAGACAAACTAAACTCAGACTCAAACTGGCCTCATAGGTCTAAGATCTTTACATTGACCAAGTAGAAAATAAGGAAATCTGGAAATGGAGGACAGGAAGAATAGAATTAATTGCATTGCTGTCAGGTCATGCACTCTTCAGTGCTAATCTACTTGCTAAGCAATCAGTTTATTTTTTTGGATTTCTATGAGCTAGGCAATTCCAGTTCTCCCACAGGCCACAAAATATTGAATCTGCTAAGACAAATTTTCCAGATCAGAAGGTGGCATTTAGATCCTGAGTCCGCTGACACTGAGTCCTCCGCAGATCGTGTGCCTCAAAGTTTCAAGTATTTCCCAAGTAACATTAAACTCTAAGGGCTTCCTCTTACCTGACTTTGCCCAGGGTGAGAGTCATCTGCAAGCGAAGACTCCAGGTGAGACAAACTGGGTGACAATGTTGAATCTACAGAGGTGCTGGTGACCAATTCTCCTAACGCATCCACTTGCCTCCTAAGACTATGTAAAGTGCCCTCCGTCTGCCGCTTTCCTTTGATTAATACTTCTGCTTGCTTGGACATACAGCGTCGAAGCTGGGCCTGAAAAGAGTTAGACAAAACAGGGTTTTATGCAGAAGTCACAGCTTCTCACGCTCCACATCTGACAGGCCAGCCTGACCCTCGTGGAGCAGGAGTGACTGCTGGAAATGCTGAGTCCTTAAAAACAACTGAAGGAGCTGCCAGGGAAGGATGGATACCCCTGTGGGCACAACTTTTACCATCTATGTTGTCATTAACTGGATCTTTGACCCAGCCCATTCTTTCCATTGTAGCAATGCTTAGGATTTCCGCCTCTTCTGCCTTCCTGCTAAATTGCTACCTCCTCTCTTTGTTTGCCAAGAATCAGATGATTAGTTGATACTTGGAATCTTCAGTGTCTCCTCACTAGGTATTTAATTCACAGTGCCTCTTGACCTTTCCTTATGCTTTAATCTTGAAGTGATTCAGTCTGAAGCAGCACCCTCCACGCACACTTTCTGCAGTGATGGAATGCTCTATCTCTGGTTGTATCTATCTAGAGCAGCCACTAGACACACATGGCTACTAAGCAATTGAAATGTAGCAACTGAAGAATTGAATTTTTAACTTGATTTAATTATATAACTGACTAAAATTAAAGCAGCCATGTGTGGTGGGAGAAAGTCACTGGAAGTCACAGGGCTCCTCTCAATGCTGCAGTACTGTTCCCTCGCAGGCCATGCTGTGTAGGGCAGCCATTCCCTAAAGGTGAGTCCTGTCTTTTCATTCAACCTCCCTCTCATTTCAACTCCACCCATACACTTAACCCCCAAATCTTTAGGTTAACATTGGACACTAAATTCTAGACTCCACTAATAGACTTTAACTGCATGTCTCGCAGGGCCTCCAAAGCAACATATTCTGAGTCAAACAATTCCTTATCTGACACTCAACCCTACTTTTCCAGTGTTCTCAATGTTTCCCCAAATCACTGGTTTATGGTGTTCTTACAGTTCATCACTATGTCTCCATTTCCTCTTCCAAATACTTAGTTTCTGTCAGTTCTAGATGAAGTAAAGCAGCGTTATGTAGTTAAAGAACACTAGACTTAACACCAGAATTCATGTTTTGTGGGGTGTTAGAGATCAAACCCAGAATTTTGGTTATTGCTAGGCAAGTAAGTGTTTCATCTCTAGCTACACCCCAGCCCTAGAATCTTGAACACTGACTGTCATTCACTGTTGTGTGACGTCTACTTCTCTGAACTTCAACCATGTCATCTATAAACTTCTCAGTGCTGCAAAATTGTGGATGTGAGAGCAGCTTGTGAATGAGAAATTTCCCCCATTTTCCCCAGAGTGCCAAGCATCTCAAACCATTTTGTTTTGTTTTGTGATGCTGGGGGTGAGCCCAGGGCCTTGTGTATCCTAGGCAAGTGCTCTACCACTGAGCCACGCCTCCAGACTGGTTCTTATTTTCTTTAAAAAGGGTAACCTTGAGTCGATCTTCACGGTGCCGCAGTCTCTCTCGGAGTGCCTCCCCGCGCCAGTGCTCATCCTTTTGCAAAAGGAAAAGGGAGACATCCATGAGTCACCCAGTATCATGGGTGGGAGACAACCAGCCTTTCCTACCCCCACACCTCCAAACCTGTTTTTAGCTTAACTGGAGGATGGAGGAGGTGGAAACAAACTATCCTTCTATGAAGCTGAGGGAATAGCAGGATACACTCTTACCGTTATGTGAACTTGGGAAAAATTTGGCTTTTCTTCAAATGGTCTCTCATTCACAGTGAATGGAAAGTTCTCTTTTAAGCTTTCCAACTCTCCTTCTAGGTTTCCATTTCTTTCCAAAATAGCTGTTATATCTTCTGGTAGTTCTGGAAGAAACTGGTTGAGATTCTTCAAGCTGGTTCTTATTTCGTCTTTAACCTCAGACTTAAGTGTCCTCATTGCATCACTGATTTCTATTTGTCTTCTCTCCAGATCTTTTTGGTTTGCCATCTAAACAGAGTTAAATATACTGAGTAAGGTTTGGGACTTACTTAGAGGTCAGCTATTGAATGCGTCTAGTATTTATAAAGTTCTGTAGATATCAACTGCAGACAATCCCTGTCTTATGATGGTTCAACTTAAAGTTGTGTGTGTTTGAGATGGGTCTCCTGTGTTGTCCAGGCTGACAACTCCAAGCATGAACTGGTTTTGTGCTTTCCACCTGTTACATGTTATCAAAGTTTTCCCCTGGATCATTTTTTCTTATCTGGGAATTATGTTACTAGACTTGTTTCTGGCATAAAAACTAATGTTTTAACATATTTCTTTGGGCCATGATAAAGTTTTATGTTAAAGAATTACTATTTTTTTCCCTTTCAATAACTAACATAAAAAAAAAAACTAATACTAAAATTCTCCAAGCTTTTTAAGTACTGAGGGTTGAACCCATGGATGCACTACCACTGAACTACATTCCCAGCCCTTTTTATTTTTTACTTTGAGACATCTCAGTTGTTCAGGCTGGCCTCAAACTTGTAAGCCTCCAGCCTTAGCCTCCTAAGTAGCTCAGATTACAAGATTATAGGTGTGCATCCAGCTTTAAGAGATTTTGTGTGTGTGTGTGTGTGTGTGTGTGTGTGTGTGTGTGTGTGGCAGGGGGACCAGGGACTGAACTTGGGGGCACTCGACTACTGAGCCACATCCCTAGCCCTATTTTGCATTTTATTTAGAGACAGGGTGCCACTGAGTTGCATAGTGCCTCGCTTTTGCTGAGGCTGGCTTTGAACTTGTGATCTTCCTGCCTCAGCTTCTGGGATTACAGATGTGCTGAGAATCTTTTTTTTTTTTTAGTTGTAGTTGGACAAAATAGCTTTATTTATTTATTTTTCTGTGGTGCTGAGGATTGAGCACAGTGCCTCACACCCAGCAAACACTCTACCCCTGAGCCACAACCCAACCCCTTTAAGAGAATTTTAAAAGCACATTTTTAACAAATACTTTTTTCCCTTGGGGAGTTACATTTCAAAATTTTAAGTCAAATCTGTTTTTACAGAACCTTCTTATAACCAGTCTTTCATGATTTCCATAAAGAAATAATCCTCTTAAAAGATACCAAATCTGTTACAACCTGTTGGAGTCCTGAGGGCAAGGAGTGTTCACTGACCCTTCCTGCCCAGGCTGGCCAGCAGAAGGTCCTGGTCACACACCTGTTTCTTGAGCTCCAGGTATTCCTGCTGCATCTGAGTGAGCTCCTTCATCAGGCGCCGTGCCCTCTCGTGGTTGTCCTGGGCTACCAGCTCCATGGTCGCCATCTCCTTCTGCATGCAACTCTTCTCCTGTTTTTGCTCCTAGAACAGGAGGAAAATGACTCTGTGGTCCAAACATGGCGGTGTTGCTGCTATTGACTCATATACTCACTAGCTCTATAACTTCATCTCCTCCTGGCCTCAGCTTCTCAGGCTGTAAAATGGGGATAAGTCTATTTACTTCTTTGGGGTAGGCAGAGTATAGCTGGGAGTACACATATGTCAATCTATTACACCAAAGTCTGAACCCCAGATCTGCTGCATCTTTGATAAGGTACTTTCTCTGAGTCTCCATTGTCTATAAAATGGGAACAACAGTACCAATCATCAGTGTTATTGGAAGGATTAAATTTTAAACATCTATATTCTGTGTTTACAGTTACCTTGTCTATTGATAGTTGTAAGAATATCACCCTCTGGAAACACAAACCTTTTAGAAGTTCCTTTCATATAATAGGGCTCCCTCAATCCAACCAGAGGATTATTTGTGAAACCACTGAGCTCACCTGCCCCCACCTATCACAAATGGCTCTGAACTATTTGATTATCACCACCTGAATTTATTTCAGGGATAAAAGCATAGTAGATTGAGCTTCCTGGTTTAGGATAATAATTAATGTTAATGCTGACTGAAAAGGCCAGGATGAGAATAATTTGTAAGCAATGACTACAGCTGGGTACAAATGTCTTCCAAGCCCTCTCCAATGCCCTCATCCCCACAGTGGGCCACAGCAGAAGCTGTCTTGACTTTGTGCTGATACTAGTTCATGGGATGCTCTCCAGCCAGCAGCCAAAGCTACTTGGGCAGCAGTGGAGTCTCACGCAAAACTTACCACGAGCTTCAAGAGTCAATCTCCATGAACACAGAAATACCCGTAGCTGGGTAAGGGGTGGTTGGTGGGCTATTAACGTTCTCTGCACTGGTGCTGCAGGCTGAGGGCTTAACTGCATCATAACCTCATACAATGCCAGGGCAGCAGCTACTCACAAGGAGGTTTTTCTCCAGCTGGCTCCGCTGGACCTGGAGTGCATCCTTCAGGCTGGCCACCTGCTTCTCAGCTTTCTTTCTCTCTGTTAAAAACTGGTTCCGCAGGAGACTGAAGTCTGCCCTCATAGCATCTGTCTCTTTCTGTAGAGCCCGTAGCTCACTCGACTTTTCCATTAATTGCTGGTCCCGTTCTGAAAGCTGCAGCTCTGAAATAAGCATTTTACAAAGTTCAGCAGGAGGCCCTGAGGCAGCTGCAGGCAGAACTTTTCTTCCTCACAAGGTGACAGGCTGTCCACTTGGAGCTACCCTCCATTACCACATCTCACCAGTTTGCCCTGACCACTCCAAAGACCAGGAAAGATCCAGGCAGGTAAGGTACATCCTGAAGTAACTGGTTCTTGGAGGCCTGATCCCAAAGTGACAAAAACTATCCTTCCTTTGAGTCTCCGAGACAAATAAGTCCCATACTGAGGTGCAGGAAACATGCAACAGACTGCTGATTTTTTTTTTTTTTTAATAAAACTTGATTTGGGGTGGGATTGTGGCTCAGTGATAGAGTGCTTGCCTAGCATGTGTGAGGCCCTGGGTTCGATCCTCAGCACCACATAAAAAATAAAAAGAATAAACAAATAAAATAAAGTTATTTAAAAAAAACAACAACTTGATTTGGTACTGGGGATTGAACCTATGGGTGTTTTACCCTTGAGCTACATCCCAGTCTCCCTCCACCCTTTTTTTTGAGACAGGGTCTAAGTTACTGAGGTTGACCTCAAACTTTCTATCCTCCTTCCTCAGCCTCCAAGTAGCTTGGAGAATAGGAGTGCTTGACTGTGCCTGGCTTGTGGACTTTGATTTGATTAAAGGGAAGCACACCAGTACTTCTTCCTACACAGGAGGTGGTGCAGTAGAAAAGGCACAGGATTTGGAGCTGGTTCTTACAGTGGCCTGAGCCCCGTGTTACAGATGAGGAGCACACTGTGAGGAACACACTGCCTTGTATTCTGCTGGAATCACATATGTAAATATTGGGGACAGAGTAAGCACTCAATAAAAATGCTTACAAATAAGAAAAATATTTTTTTTAAATGTTACTCTTATCACCCTATTTAGAGTAGCACCCTACTCAGACTTCACTTTTAAACACCTCTGCTACAGTGAGAATTCAGCATATTTGTTTAGTCTCATTTTCACTATGAAATGACTGGGTCTGGGTGTATTATGAGTTGCTAGGGGAAAATGAGTGACAATCCTTTCAGGCACCAGAACCATAACATTTTCTGAGCACTATTAAACCCTGTGGCCTAAGAAAGATAAAAATTATTTATTGATGACCATGTGTCCTGGATTTTCAAACCAACTTCATTTACATAAGGTTCAAGCAGGAGTAAACTGACTCAAAGGCAAATACCTGTATTCTTTACCATTTACTATGTCAACTGAGGACAGAAGAATTGTTAATATTGTTCGACTGGCTGAGCAAAACGGATCATTATTCCTAAAGCTCAAAGTATACTTGAGAGTGTCTTCCACACTTCTTTGCCTCAATATTCCACTTTCTCGTGGTAACAAAGGAGGCAGTCTTAGGATCAAACTTCTCCAGAAAGGTACATGTTCCCTTTGCGTCTCTGCTCCTGTCTCTGCATCTCTCACAGGGCTGCCATTCTCCTGCTTTGCTTCTCCTGCCCCTTCCTGGGCCCTGGCTGGGGCCTGGGTCCTTCACACAATTTACAAGACAACCAGCAGAGCTATCCTTCCACCTTCCCTGCCCTTGCCCCATCCCTGCCCCTGATTCATTTCAGGGTACACACTGGTCTGGGAGAGCGTCTTCTCCAGGGTCTCCCCCCACCGCTCCTCTTCTTGCAGAGTCCTCACGCGCTCTTCTGCCACCGACATCTGCATGAGCACCTGGTTCAGTTTGCTTTTCTGGTCCATTAATTCTTTTTCCAGCTGGTGCCGCTGCTCCTTCAGTGTTACTTTACTGGCTTCTAATTTACTTTCTTCATTCTCTCTCTCTTTATGAAGTCTCTGAAACATCTCAATGGAGAAAAATCTTAGTCATAATAAATACTCATAATAAAAAGTAGCTCATAATAGTGTCCCAGATGAACATGAGACAGATTCCAGTACTCTGGCCCACAGGCCAGAAAAATTCTTTGCAAAAGTGATGATGCAAGGGCTGGAAAGTCACCTGGGTAGCGTGAGGAGATTAAGCAGCAAAGAGCATGTGGCATTAAGATTCTTTACAGGATCAATGTCCTATGACTTTAAGGGACCATCATGTATATTTATCTCAACAGAGTCACAGAGCTGGTGTAAAAGTCACACCTAGTTGCACGTTAGAGAGACACAAAGGCCACGGGGAGGGGCTACCCAGCAGCTTTCTGCCACAGGAGAAAGCTCATACAAGTAATAGAAGGCTCCTTTCATGTATAATCGTGAATGTGTAGTACCATTTCTTGCTGGTCTAGCTTCAGCTTGTTTTCTTCGATCTCACTCTGAAGTGCTTGGAGTTGTTGTTGTTTAGCTTCTGCTTCTTTTTGACAGTTCTCGAACCTCTCTACCCACTCATTGATGTCCTTCTGCAGCCGGGTCTGCTCACCAAGCAGTGAATCCTGACGGCTGGTGGTATGAATCAGGTCCTGCAGGTAGAAGAACAAACTGAAAGAACTCACAAAGCTACCGGGAGTGGCCAGTGCCAATCCACCATCTACCAAATTTGATGAAATGAGAAGCATAATTTCCATAGCCTTTATCTCAACAAACTTACAAAAGGATTCAGGAATCAAACTAATTGCTGGATTTCCTCTTTTTTAGTGCCTAAGAAATAAGGAGTCAAAAAACCACCAAAATACTCAGCTCCTCTCAGCTTATCTGCCTTGTCACTGAGGTGGGTAGGAGGAAAACAAAAAACAAGCTACCTCACAGTATTGTTCAGAAAATTAAATGCCTCTTAAAGGAACCCAAATTAAGCATTTTAAAGCATATTTCTCACAATAAGATTCACAGGAACCTTTGTAGGATTTTTTAAAAGTAGACTATTTTAAGTTTTATACTTCTCAGAAGCACAATCTTAAAGGTATAAGGAAAAGAATTTAGATGTTAAATCTAACTTCTAATTTATGTAGAAGAAAATGAGACCCAGAATTTGCTTGAAGTTCTTTGAAAATCCAGTTTTAGCACTATTCTCACAGGACAACACTGAGTTACCTTAAGGAAGATGATGAGAATTTACAGGCTCAAGAATCTCCCCTATCCAACATCCTGCTCTGTTGTTCAATAAGTAATCAGTTCTAAGCTTTATCTGGAAGTCTTGCCTGTTCCCTTTGGCCCTGGAGGAGCTGCAGAGTAACTGCATGACTCTGGTCTAGCCACCACTATACGTATTTGTTTTGAGTAAAACTTCATTTGAATCAAGAGTTCTAGGGCCCAAATAAATTAGAAAACCACAGCTCTGTACCAAAATATTATTTGAGGGTTGCATTATATAAATGGCCCTATGATCTGTTGGTATGAACGGAAACCAGCTTACTTGACTTTTTTGTTATATTACCCAATTGTCTGCGTGCCTTTGGGATACTAACAGAAGATTCTACTTGTTAGCCTTACCTGTTTTGCTAGGTTCAAATGGTTTTGGACATTAGCTAGTTCCTCCTGTAGTGACTTCACTGCTTCTCGTTTTTCTACAGAAACAAGATTTTAATAAAATAATATACATGTATGTATACATGACAGATTTTCATCAGCCACCTTCCCAAAAAAAGTACAGCAAAAGTGAATTCAAACATATTTCTGTAGAATGAATGACAATGTCACACTCACTTATTAAAAGCCAAAAGACAGGGATATATACACAACCCGTATCTTGGCTAGGAGCCTAGGTTTTCAAAGACTTTCATATTCAAAAATCTTACATTAAAAACTTTACAGAAAATAGCTGCACCAGTGGCGTATGCTTGTAATTCCAGCAACTTGGGAGTGGAGGCAGGAGGATAACAAGTTTGAGACCAGACTGGGTTAACTTAGACCCTATCTCAAAAAATAAAAAATAAAAAGGGCTAAGCACATAGCTCAATGGTAGAGATTCTGAAGTACTGAAAAAAATTCACAGATAATATTTAATGTTGAGATGTATGATGTAAAAATATGTACCTTCTACATTGCTGGTAGAAATGTAAAGTTAGTACTTTTCAGGAAGACAATTTAGGAACTAAATTTATATCTATATTGTCTTTGTCAATTACTAGTTATGTGACTGAACAAATTATAAGAACACTAAGCTTAGGTTTCCTCATCTGTAAATGGGTAAACAATAGTTTCTATCTCCTAAAAATGTTATGAGGATTAAATGAGAAAATGTATCAGGTCTAGGGCATAATAAATTCTCAACAAGTTATTATTAGCTAGAATGACATAGCAATTTCTCCTAAAAAATTATAAAGATTTGGTAATAAAAGACATGTTTTCATTTGCATTAAAGTACACACATACACTCCTAGGGAAAACCTGGAAGAATATTTACCAAACTGTTAATAGGAGTTACTTTTAAAAATTTTTATAAATAATGTTTTTTCATCTTTTTTGTTATGTTTTAAAATTGTTCTCTAAGGAACATGAATTCGAGTTTTTAGAAAAATAGATCAGCTGAGATATAATTCACATATCATGCATGTCCTATTTAAAGTATACAATTCAAATGCTTTTAGTATATTCAGAGTTGGGCAACCATTACCACAATCTAATTTTAGAAAGAAACTCCTTGCCCATTTGCATGAAGACTTCTGTAATAAGAAAAATCACACAAAGAATTTAACAAACAGGGAAAATCACATCTCTCCTGCTCTACTGCCTCCTACCGTGGAGCTGTGGCTGCACTGCTGAAATGTCCTTAAGTAGTGACAGCTTGTCTTTGTTTAGCTGGTCCACCTCCTGCTGTAGTTTTATGACATTCAATTCCAAGTTTTCTAAGTTTGATTGCTCCATTTTGCTATTTTCTTCTGTAGTTGCTAAAACCCTACCACACAAAATAAATCAGATGGTTCAATATGAAATAGTTAAGCACACGTAAGATATGACTAAGGAATAGTGTTACCTTTTCACAATGTACAGTTATGGAAGGTCTGAATGAATATAAATCTTAAAATTCAAGATTGTTGAACTCATTTTTTTAAATGAAATCTTATCAGGTTTCTAAATAGGAGATTCCCCCCAACTTCGAAAGTTACTGACTAAATTCAGGTTTTATAAAAATCATGGATAAAAAATGGATAATATTCAGAATTCCAAATATCTGAGGATCAAAATTGTACTGCTAACTTGTGATAGGTGAAAAAGCAGGAAACACAATGGTACGTGTCATACGATTTTTCCATGTCATAGACATGCCTGAGAGGTATTCTACATATCAAGGGAGGCCAAAAGTGTAAACTTGCTTTTGTCTGGATTCTTTCACTCAGTACAATTACTCTGACATTCATCCATGTTGGGTATCAACCCTTTATTCCTACAGTATTCCACGGTAGACATACTACAATTCGTTTACTCATCTGCCAGTTTATAGACATGCAGGCAATTACAAATAAAGATGCTATGAACACTTGTCATACTATGTGTAGAAATATGCTTTCATTCTCTTGAGTAAACACCTGGGAGTGTAGCATGCATAAGGCCCTAGGTTCAATCCCCAGTACTGCAAGAAGAAACCCAAAACAAAACCTAGGGGCAGAATGACTGAATCTCTGGGTAGGTGTACTTCTGATTTTTAAGTAACTGCCAAACTGTTTTCCAAAATACTCGTAGCATTTTACATTCCCATCAGTTGTACATGAAAGTACTTCAATAACATATGGTATGGTCATGTTGATAAATGTGTAGTGAATATTACCTTATGGTTTTAATTTGTATTTCCTTAGTGAGCAATGTTGCTGAGCATCGTATCACGTTTATTTGCCATCATATATATTCTGAAGTGAAATGTCTGTTCAAATCTTGTATCCACTTAAAAAAACTGTCGTTATAGCTGGGCGTGGCAGTGCACACCTGTAATCTCAGCAACTCAGGAAGCTGAGGCAGGAGGCTTGCAGATTTGAGGCCAGCCTCAGCATCTTAGCAAGATCCTCCATAACTTACTGAGACCCTGCCTATCTCAAAATACAAAATAAAAAGGGCTGAGGATGTAGCTAAGTGCTAAAGTGCCCTGGTAATTCCCAGTATCAAAACAAAACAAACAACAACAACAAAAAAAAACTGAGTTATTTTCTTACTATTGAGTTTTGAGAGTTCTTTAGGTATATATAGTCTGGATATAAGTTACAAGTTCTTTATTGGATACATGGTTACAAAGATTCACTCCTGGCCCAGTCTGCGTCATGCCTTTTTACTAGTTTAACAGTGTCTTCTGAAGAACCGATGAAATTTTGATGAAATTCAATTTTTTCAATTTACTTTTTTATGGATCATGTTTTTAGTTGCCAAACTTAAGAACATTTTGCTTAACCAAGATCACAAAAAATTTTCTCTTCAGAGGTTTTATATTTAGGTTTTGCATTTCTGTTTATGGTTGGGTTTGAGTTAATTTTTGTATACAATGTGACATACAGGTCAAGGTTTCATTGTTTTAATTTTGGATATCCAATTGGGTTAGCAACATTTTTTAAAGAGATTATCTTTTCTTTACTGAAACAATACTTCCTTATCTTGGTCAAAATCAGTTGTCCATATATGTGAGAATTTATCTCTGACTTTCTATTCTGTTCCAATGATATATTTGTCTACTTTATACCAATACCACAGTGTTGCTTACTACAGTTTTATACTGAAGTCTTGAAATCAGGTAGTGTTAGCCCAAAACTTTTGTGTTTCTTTTTCAAAGTTGTTTTGGTGTTATGCCTAAAAAATTGCAAAAATTCTATTCTAGATCCTTTGCATTTCCATTTGAACTTTAGAATCAATGTGTCAATTTCTACAAAAAAACAAGAATGGCTACTGGGATTTTTTTTTATTGCAGTGTTTTGAATTTATAGAACAATTTGAGGAGAACTAAATCTTAACAATATTGTCTTCCTAGCCAATGAATTAGGTACTTCTCTCCATTTATTTCCAGCATGTGTTATTTCACTTCAAAGACAACAACAGATTATTTTTAAAAGTCTTTTTGAGGAGGGAAGAAAAGCTAGAAGTAAATTCACCAAAAAACACTACTGCAGAATTATGCTACCATGTTTGAATATCTTTTTTCCTTTTCTGTAAGTTCTAATTTTGTTTTTTTAAATTCCTTCTCAGTTATTTTTATTTTATTTATTTGCAAGACTAGGGACTAAACCCAAGGGCTTGTACATGTGAGGCAAGTGCTCTATAGTGAGGCATATGCCGAATCCCTATACTCTTATTTTTAAAAGTGATCCCCAAATATTATTTGTTCTTGCTCTCACCTTTTGGTTTGTGACAACTTCTTTTCCCAGCTGTCACATTTCTCTTGGAGATCTTCTTTTTCTTTGCTCAAACACTCAACACATGACTGTAATGCCTGGATCTCAGCAGTCATTCGATCTACTTCCCGTTTGTTCCTCTCAAGGAGCTGTTTCTGCCACTCTATTTCCTCTTTCTGTTGTTGGGCAGCCTGCTGCAAATTCTCTAACTCCATTTTCTCCTAAATCAGAAAAAAGGGGACTGAACCTCCTAAAAGAGAAAGATTTCAGTTTGCTAAGGGGACAACATCTCTGTTCATTACCTCTAGCACTTCGACCTGAGTCTTCTCTAACTCAGTCACCTTCTGGTCGTGCTGTAGCTTCAAATCTTGTAGTTCATTGTTTTCAAGTTGCAACATGTCCAAAATGTTCTTTAGTTCTAATGGATAGAAACAAAGCATAGCCCATGCTTTTAAGTAAACTTGGAAACGTTTATAAAATGAAACAAAAAATAATGCTACTGACTGGAAGAAATAACAGATGATCAAAAAAATTTTGTTCAGCTGAATAAATGGTGCTAATTACATATTAAACAGAAACAACTTTTTAAAAGTATTGTTAATTATTTGTTAGAAATATTAAAAAAATATTTAATAAAGAACTACTTTGAAAAGCATTTATATCCCCACAATAAATGAACTAAAAACATTTTATACAAATAAAACTTAATCAAAATAGGAAAAACTTTATATAAAGATTGAAATGATTATAGTTTTGCCCTTTGAAATATAGACATTTAAATATTAACTTTTTTCTGATTATAACAATATTTGTTCATGGAGAAAATTTGAAAAAATACAAAAAGTATTAAAAGAAAAAACTGAAAATATATCATTATCCCAACATACAAAGATGATAATCATTACTATAGCATTTTGGAGTATTTCCTTCCAGGAAAACACACACACACACACACACACATTCTAAAATAAACTGAACTATACTCCATATTCCGTTTTTATTTATTTTTCACTATTCTCTTGAGCACTTTTGAATGTCATTAAATATTAAAAATATCATTTTAAATTGGTTGTTTCCAAATTTTTGTCATTATAAACATTACTGTGAAGCATGTAAAAAGATGCCATTTGGTTATGAATAGAAATGGGCTTGCTGGCCCAACAGATGTGACTTTTAATTTTAAGAGTCTTGAACCTTGAAAGAGTATTCCAGTGTACACTTCAAAAGGATCGCAGGCATATACTTGCCCTTCTGTCAGCATATGCTGGTCAACCATGAATATAATTATTTCACTTTTACATAAACCATATTAAATCGAATGCCAGAATATAATATATTCCTTTTATAATCTGCCTTTACTTGCTTATTAGTAATAAGGTTAAGTTTTAATTGAGGCTTATTTGGTCATTTGTATTTTTCTATAACCTATAACACATTTCCAACACCAAACTTTATATGTTCTTTAAACTTACCAGTTTTGTATTTAGTCATTTGCCTTAAAACTACCTGAAGATTTTCTTCCTCTTTTTCAATTTCCTGCTTTATAAGTGCAAGTTGAGTTTTTTTTTCACTAATGTGGACATTCAGTTCTCCTTTCTGAACACTCAGTTCTTCCAGAAGCAATTTTACTTCCTGTGTTTAAAACAAAAAGTTACCCTCCCCTATGAAAATATGAACTGAAATTCCTCTAAAATCAATTATGTTCTTGTCTCATTTCACAGAATTTCTAACTTAGAAACAAGCTCATTTTTGCCTTTGATGTCAAGAACAGCACAATATTTTTCACTAATATATTTCTGAATAATGGAAGAAAGTAACATCTTTACATATATACACAGCACTGACCATAAGCAAGGCAACATGTTGTAGAGGAAAAAAGGCTGATTTCAACCTAGCCCTTGACCTCAAGGGGCTCAGCAGCCCTAGTGCAGAGGTAAGGCTGGAAACCAGCACACTCTTAGAAAGTCAAGGTGCTCGAGGAAACACAAAGAATGTTGCCAAACTCAGGAGAGGAAGAAACCCCTTCCAGAGCAAAAAGTGAGAAGGCAGCAGGTAGCTGGGCCATAAGAATCAGGTGGGATCTGGCTAGTAACAGGGCAGAAAAGCTATTCCTAGAGAAGAAATGAAATGAGAAAGGCAAGAGACAGGAGAACCTTAGCCATATCCAGGCAACAATATGGGTGCACTTCACATCGCAGACATAGCATAGCCTGGACACACAACACACACCAAATGGCATTAGGGAGGAGGCAAGGTTTCAGGAATTTACATCTTCTTCAGAGAAAACCAATGAAACTACCTCAAAATAAATCAATGACATTGTCTAGGACTCTTAAGAAAACCTACTGAATATCATACCCTGATGTGACTGCACTTCTCAGCAACTTCAGTTTCTCCCAGACTCAGGGCTTCTTGGAGATCAGCTTTTGCTTGGACCATGCTTTCTTGGAGTAGCTGCAGCTCCTCCTTTTTATGCCCTAATTGCTTGTCCAAGATAGCCATCTCCTGCTGCTGACTTGTTACCTGAAAAGGGAAGAATGCAAAGTCTGACAAAGGCCACACAACCTTCAGTGCTACCCTGGAGATTAAGTATTTATTTAGGCCAGCTAAAGAATGTGGGGGCAATCAAAAGCTTCAATCCCAGTCCCAAGAACAAGGAGGGTCAAGCTTGGGGGTGTGAACATGGAATACCTAATGAAGACCTTGAGCTCTCATATTTAAAATCACTTGGATCACAAGAACAGAAACATGATAATAGTGATTACCCCTCAGATTATGGTTTTCAAATAACTTTCTTATATATGTATAAAATAAGGTGTGTGTCTGTGTGTACACATCTTAATTCCATTTTGGTAACAACCTTGGCAATGTAAATTAGGCAGAAATTTTTAGAGTTTATTCACTTTTTTAAGTTTAAAAATTACTTACAATTTTAGGAGCAATACATATTTGTTTACAGAAAAAGCAGTCATAAACATGGAAAGGAAGAAAAGAGAAAAATACTTATAGTGTGCCCTTATCAAATGACCACTTTTATGCTTGGTTTAAATGCCCTAGTGTTCATAAACATACTTAACAGAAAAGCATACCATGTATTAAAACTCATATCTTTTACACAATAATGGCCATAGGTGGGCTCTTACGTGACTGGTCCAGTGTTAAAGGTTTAGTCCCCAAAATGTGTCATTGGGAAGTGGGCCAAGTGGGAGACTTTCAGGTCATGGGGATGGGCCCTTGAAGGGAATAAAGGGATCCCACCTCTTCCTCTTCCCTATGTTCACTCCCCAGATGCTGCCAAACACTCCCACGATGATGTGTTGCCATAGGCCCAAAGCAATGGGCCCAAGTGAGCATGGGCTGAAACCTCTAAAACTATGAACCACACAAACCTTTGTATTTATAAGCTAATTATGTTGGGTATTTGTCATAGTGACAGAAAACTGACACAATAATACACTGTACTGAGTTGGGATTTAAACTTATGTTGGACTCTACACTTTTCTGACATACAGCCTCATTTATTTATTTATTTAAAAAATATTTTATTAGTTGTTGTTGGACCTTTATTTATTTTTATGTGGTGCTGAGAATCGAACCTAGTGCCTCACACATGCTAGGCAAGCACTCTACCACTGAGCCACAACCCTAGCCCCTATTCTTTATACTTTATTTCATATTTTCCAATGTTTTCTATAATCAAACATGTATTACTGGGGCTGGGATTGTGGTGTAGTGGTAGAGCACTCACCTAGTATGTGTGAGGCACTGGGTTCAATCCTCAGCACCACATAAAAACAAATAAAAGTATTGTGTCCATCTACAACTAAAAAATATCTCAAAGGTCTTAAAAAATTTGTATTACTTTCATAATCATAGAACAACGTAAGTAGGTTTTAAAGCAGTATGAATTTTCTGTTCCAGGTGTCTACTGCCATACCTGGCTTTTGAGCTTTTCCAGCTCTGCTCTCTTGGCTTCAAGGAGGGTCTCAGATTCTTTGAGGACCTGCAGGTGGTGACGCTCATTGTGTTCTGCTGCCTCAATGTCTTTTTGAAGGTTGTGAAGCCTAGAAAGCACCAGCAGTACTTGAGCAGACTCTATGGATAGAGATCGGGACACAGAGCTTGTCCCCTGCACACACCCCTGCAGCCCAACAGAGGCCTGACTTACTCTTCTGTGAGCTTTTCCTTCTTCTTGTTTAAACACTGGAAGTCTGCATCTTTTGCTACTACAACTTTGTTTACTTCTTTCAAGATTTCTTCTTGCTTAATTTTGTGCTGCTCCAAATCCTCAGTATCAGCTTGGAGCAATCTAAAACACATCATGTTATTTCCCCAGGCCCAAAGACTTAACATGCACCACTTATCACAAACCAATTATTACCTTCTTAGAACCAAACTTCACTCATCACCTCATGTAAGCTTAGGGACTCCACCTACCTCAGCTGCTGATCGGCTTTCACAAGGTTAACAGCAGTTTCCTGTGCTCTCCTTTCTAATTCCTCAGCATCTGATTCGATTTGCAATAAATTTCTCTTGGCCTCAGTGAACTTTTCAACAGCATTTTTTGTCTAGAAAAGAAACCGCCATTAAAAGCAACTCACCTACAATATTGACTTATAGTGACTGGCAGTGTAAACGGGTACAACCGTTGGAAAACAAAACAGAAAGGCATAAAGATGTTCATTTGCTTTGACTCTATACTTCTCAGAAAAGAACTGTGAAGCAAAGAACTACTATGTAAAAATGTATTGAAATGATATAAAACTTGAAATACAAGATTAAGTGACAGTACATTAAACACAATAGAATACTATGTAGCTCTGTGTAGCAATATGCAAGAATGTTAACCATATTATGTTGGCCAAGAGAAACAAATTTAAAATCTCATAAGTACTCTGAAAGCAACTATATAAAACAAAATCTATGTCAACAAAGACAAAAAGCCTCTGCAAAAATAGTCATTTGAAGATGGTGAACTGTAGATGATCTTTTTATTTCAAAACAATATGTAATACTATTAGGTCATTTGATTAATTGCCAATTAAATGCCAGTGAAGTGATTTTACCAAGATTCTATGTACATTGAGACTCCTGCTGTACTGTAGATATTATCAAATCAAGTGAAAACTCATTTTGTGATGATTTAATTATGGTTAAGAATACAAATACTGAATTCCTTTGAAGTAGTTAAAAAATCTTCCTGCTGGGTACAGTGGCACACGCCTATAATCCAAGTGGTTCAGGAGGCAGGAGGCAGGAGGATCCCACGTTCAAAGCCTCAGCAACTTAATGAGATCCTGTCTCAAAATTAAAAAGCACTGGGGATGTGACTGAGTGGTTAAGGGCCCATGGATTCTATCCCTGGTACCCCCAAAAAGAGAAAATCTTCCTAAAAATATCTGGCAAAAAACACTTTTTTTTTAAAATTCAGCTCGATTTTTCTGCCTAAAACAAGCTAATAATAACATCATCAAAAGGTCTAAAAATAAGAGTTTGGTTTGTATTTCGGTCAAGCACTGATTCAACATCAATCAAAAACCTGAATTTCTGCAGTTGTACTGAAGTAATGGTAGTCTGTACATTAAGTTTGTCTATTAAGTATTCCCCGTTGCTGCTAAAATGCCAGCAAGCCCTCTGAGGGCTAAGTATTTACCACCCTCTCTCTATTCCAGAGAGCTGCTCTCTGTCAGTTCATCAACAAAGCACTGGACAAAAATCACTACATACTGCAGAAGGCAACATTTCTAAGTAGCCTTTTGTCCCTCCCATGTCAGGTTTTAACATCTCTGGCACATTCTTTACAAAATGAATTGTAAAGAATTTTTGTGGGGGGCTGAAGGGGAAAGAGCTTCCCAGCCTTGGTTCACTTACCACCTGTTCCTATACAAGTGTCATCACTTTCCTTTCAAATACCAGTGATAATTTTTTTCTGTACTACTAACACCTATTTTCTCTCACAGTGAACTAATATGTGACAAGGACTCTTCTAAAAAGAGATAACTTTTTTCCATTCTTATTAAAACCAACACTCATAGAATATCTTTAATAACTGAAACCATTTTAGTTCCTGGACAACAGATTTCTATTAATTTAAATAGATCCAAGTTGAAATAATAATGTAAAAATAGTAGTTCCTGTGGTGTACCATGTGGGTAAAGGACTTTTTTAATCTTGAAATTTCTCATTTAACTAAAAAAGCTCTTCAGTAGCACAACTTAACTCTGTAACTCTGGGTCAGTTATAAACCTCTTTGGGCTACATCTGTAAACTGAGTTGCCAGGAGGGTTAAATGAAGTGGTATTTATCAATGGACCATGTCTGACAACAGAAGGGGCTCAGTAAAAGGAAGCCACCCTCACCCCACTCCAAATTTCCTCTGTGTTGTTGTCTTTGAAGAATACTATCTTGGCCAAAATTATATTATTATTCCCATTACCATCTTAAAGAAAAAGTAAGACTTGTGAGGTCCCTATGGCTTTATAAAAACTGAAATGGCCTACTTAAGAAACACAGCAGAGGGCTGGGTTTGTGGCTCAGTGGTAGAGCACTTCCATAACATGTGTGAGGCACTGGGTTCTATTCTCAGCACCACATATAAATAAATAAAATAAAGGTCTATCGAAAACTAAAAAGAAAAGAAAAGAAACACAGCAGAGCCCAAACACAAACACATATACACATGATAAAATAGTGGAATATGCTGAGAACTAAATTAACTTCAAAAATCTTAAATATGCTATTTCATTTCATTCATACTGAATAGCCTACGTATTCTTAGCCTAAATTTACTGATGAGAAAGGCAAAACTTGAGGACTTCAATGACTTGCCCAAATTCTGGCAGACTCTAGTCTGGAACCTGGCTATCTGGCTTGGACAACTGTGTTCTTTTCACCTGTTTTCTTTGCAATCCAGGCATACAACAGTAAGCTGCCCTACTCACAATGAGTTCACACCCCCAAACCACAAGAAGACATACCTTCTCTTTTGTGCATGCAAGTTCACTCTCAGCCTCTGCCAGGAGTCGGTCAGCTTCCCTGAGTTCTGAGCGCCGTTTCAGAAGGGTCTTCTCTATGCACTCAATTTCATCTACAATATCTTCATGGTGTTTGAATGATTTTTCAATTTCTAGTTCAGTCATAAGACTCTCAACATTTCCATCAATGAAGTCCCTAAAAAATTACATTCACAAACATTAAAAAATTTTAAATGCAGACAATATGAATAGAACCTATGAAAAAGATGCACAATGATTTTCTAATTTTATATGGGAAGGGACAAGAGAAGCAGCTACATTTGGTTATATTCAAAATTAATGTCCACCTTTTTGTTAAATATGGAATACTACTGGCAATAAATGTATATACACAGAACTTATTATGGAATGGTTTCTCCTTTTAAAAATAACAGCAAATATTTCCATGTTGTTAGTATCTGGCTAAGACAGTGCTGATATATCCATGCTTCTGAATGATTGAAATATTCTGAATAGATTGAAGTATAAAAATTTACTAACAGAATAATCATCCATTCCCTCAAAACTGTCCTCAAAGCCCAGATTTTGTGATTTATTCCATTCTGTTAAACTATGTTAATACTGAAAAGTCAAAAGGTTTGGTACAAGATTAAAAAAACCCAAGCTTAACCTGATAACACTATTTGACAATGGGACTATCCATGACTGCATGACAGAAAAATATGAAAATAAATACAACATATTTTTCTCCTTAAATAAATGTATACAGATGATATTTAACTTTTTTTCATCAATTTTGTGTGACCCAAATTTCCTAATGATCATTTTAATACACTTTTATAACTGGAAAAAGTAGTGGATATCCTACACCCTAACATTCCCCTCAAAAGACCTCAAAATATATACTACTAATAGATACAACCCTCTCCAATCCTTCAACACCCAGTCCCAATCATCCTGGTGTAGCCTTTGCTTTCCCCTTCTAGGCTTTTAGTCAGTCATGTGTCTATTCCTAGATGGCAGTGAGCACAACTCATTTACTCTGAATCCTCCACAGGCCTCCAGCCTATCCTGGGACCTGGGCTAGTCTGCCTTAAATGACAAAAACTTGAGACATGCCACAATTCACGGAATATTACAGAAGTTGGGTTTTATATTACTGGATTGAAGCAACAGATGCTACAACTTTTATTATGCCAGGCACAGGGAAATGCAGCCTCCCCCATCTCTTCCAGAGATGGAGGCCCAGCCACTGTTCTCAAGGAACTCCTGGGTTCCTCACAATATTTTGTGGACAGTGCTATACCCAAGGTTGCTAACCCAGAATTAGGGGGTGCCTAGGAGGAAAAAGTCTTTGTGTAAAACAGATCTCTAACCTTTGTCTGAAAGGCAGAGTGGAATCAGGCAAGGAAAGGGAAGGCATTTCAGCAGAGGATGGCTCACATCAAGGAAGAAGGAGGGAAAAATATGGTGTCTGGAAGGCCACAGAAAAGCCAGGGGTGGAGATCAAACACTGTATGTGGGAGGGAGGGATACAAAGGAGAGGCGGGGCTCAGATGGTAGCAGGTGTTGTCACTATGATGGGACAGAAAGTCAGTGTCCAGTATATAGAGAGAAGACATTGGAATGCCAGTGTGAATCTATTACAGTGGCTGAGGATGAGAAGGATGAAAGGCCAGAGCGGCAGTGGTCAAAGGGCCAGTTTGACAGCTTTTTGTATGTAATCAGCAGGACTTAGAGGCCAACTAGATGCCTGGGGGGAGTAAGGGGAAGGGAAATGGCTGTGCTGTTCTCAAGATTTGTACTGTCCAAAGTATGTGGCTACTAATTAATTAAAATTAAATTTAGTTCTGTTCCTCTAGGTTCCAGCAGTCACATTTCAAGTGCACAATAGCCAACATGTGACTAGTAATTACTGTTTTAGACAGTTCAGAAATAGAACATTTCCAAAATACCATATCCATCTGAATTATGAAAATATAATGAAAAAATTACGAAAATATAATGGCTAATAATAATTACTTTCGTTGTTGATGATTCTGGATGGTTCTATGTAATTCTTCTACTTCACATTCTAATTCTTTCTTCTCTTGCAAAAGACCATCAATGTTATGTTGCAGTTCTTCCATTTCTTTCTCAGACTGCTGCCTGGATGCTCTCTTCCACCGTTCCTCCTGTCGCTTTGATTTTAAATGCTGCATTATGTCCTCTAATCTAGAAACTTCATTCTCCTGAAATACAGGGGAAAAAATGCAGTACTGAAATACCAGAGAATGTATTTTCCCTTTTTCTCCCAGAAGCTGAAATTAACTGTAGTTAAAGTGACATCTATAGGCTGAAAAGTGATGGTAGATTTTGACTTTGTATAAAAAGAAAATTTAAGGTGAGCCCAATTTTTCACATGCCATAGGTGAAACAGATGGACTGATCTAACTTAACTTTTCTATCAGTGTGACTATGGTTGCAAAACATCCACCAAGACTCTTCCAAATGTCTGCTTCTGACATTCAGAATCTAGAAGAGATGGATGGAGGTTTCTCCTTCCTCTGGATACACAGGAAGGGTGTCATCTGAAAAGATTGCCCAGAGGAAGAGATGTTTTGCCTGGATTTAAAAAAAATGAAAAAGGGAAAACCTGAGCTAAAAAAATAATATGTGAAAATGTAAGAAACCATAAAAGTATACTTTGGAAACTACATAAGTAGTTAAGTACTTTCAGAGAATAAAAGAACCGTGTAAGAGCTTCTTAATAAATGCTGAGTAGAAAGAATGGCTACAGATACAATGTACAATGAAAAAAATCACAAGAGAATCTGAGTGACTACCAATGTAACCATGTTAATGCACAAAGGCCCTCTGAAGCCAGTCTGAACCATTAAGATAGTACTGTGACATGGTACCAGGTGTCCTAGTCCTTTACTTTCCCTCCAATCTGCTGAAAAGGGAAGGAAAAAACAAACAAACAAAAAACCAACAGTCTCCCGGTGCTTTGAGTTTGAAATGGAGCTTGGAATGAAGTTTTATTGCTTTAGAACCCAAAAGTTAGAAATTAATTCAGTGTTAGGAAGTTATCTGTTCTTAGATTTCTCACACAGTCAATTATAAGACCTACAAATAAATGTATAGTTATTAAAATACTTTCTAAAAATACTAGTAAAATCATAGGGAAATACTTGTAATATGAAGTGGGAAAACTGTACAAAAATAACTATAAAATTAATAATGATCAATAAATCCTACACCCAGAGATAATTCCCATCAAAACCTGTTGTATGCTCTTTATATGAGTGTGTATACATGTATGTGTACATGCACAGGTATAGGCCCTATAATGTGACTATATCTACAAATACACATTAATACAGCACTTGTTAATAGAAAGGTACATGAAAATGGTTCAGCTTTGAACTGAAGGCATTTCTATAATAAAATGGCTAACCAAGTTTTAGACTGGCCTGGGCCCTTAAATCCTATCCAAAATAGCATTTTAATAAGAGAATTCTTATTCAGTTCTAAACATCAGCCTCACAATCACACTTTTGGAATACAACCTATTCATTAAAAAGTCAACTCATTAAATGTACATCCTTATCAGGCATGTATGGAAGCAGTGTGGGTAGAGCTGGGTATCTTTCCACTTACTAAGTTATGATGTTCTGGCACATTGCAATGTAGAACACCCATAGGGATGAGGGGAACGGAGAAGCCTGGGGGTGGTGGTCCATAAACAGTGGGGGCTCCAGCGGGAGGTGGACCATAAACAACAGTGCCAGGGGTGAGAGGTTGGCTGTTGTTGGGCAAGGGAGGAGGTGGTGCATACAGGGCCATGCCCTGGGGTACAGGAGAACCATCAGGAAGCACAGTATACATCAAGTATCCAGAAGGAGGCACAAATGGGGGCTCCTCTTGTTCATCCATTCCGCTCTCTTCCTGGCTATCTCTTTCACTGTCTCCATCTTCAAAAAATAAACAGAAGAGTATGTTACCCCAGGGTTTAGTAGAGAACAGTAGATTTTGACAGAGATCCTGGAAATACGAGAATAAAATTCTCAAAAAAGAGTCTGGTGATGTAGCTCAGTGGTAGAGGGCTTGCCTAGCATGGGCAAGGCCACAGGTTTCATCTGTGACACTGAAGAAAAAAACAAACAAAAACAAAAAAACACTCTGAAAAAGGTCAAAAGCAATTCTGAGATCAAAACAGATTTAAAGTGTTTTCAGTACTTTAAATACTTGAGTTTTTCCTAAGCCTATCTTGGTTTATTTCTTCACTTACTAGTTTATTCATTGATCCAGCAATCATTTGGGTGCCTGTTTGATGCTACATTAAAGATTAACAGATGTGCCATGAGATAGGACAGCAATGGCATCACCCAGCATTTACCACTCTCATGACACCTAATACTCTCCAATATGATGGCTTACTTACTTGTTGCCTCTAAAAGGAGGAGCTAAATTTGCTCATCACTGACAAAGAACCTACCTAACACACTGCATGTGCTCAATAAATAGTTGCTGAATGAACATATCCTCAGAAGGTAGTACTCCTATATTAAAGATTAACAGTCACAGAGCAAATAAATAGTTTGCCTATGATCACAATTATTAAGTGCAAGAGCTGGGACTTACCCAGATCTGATTCTTCCCCTGAGTGCTTTGGAAGACACACCTATAATACTCTGTTTTAGTAGAGCTACCTTACTGCCATGATACAAAGAATCAAGGCCCTATACTCCAGAAGCACAGGCAAAGAAGCCACTTGGTTGGCCTGGCGGAAGCAGGGTGGAGGAAGGCTCCATGAAGCGAGTGCTGTTTTAGGACCTGGGACTTACTGAAGAATGAGGAGGAATTGGTTTGGGAAAGAAAGAAAGGAGGAAGACATTCCAGATAGAAAGTTTAAAATATGGAGCTTTGGGGCTGAGGATGTGGCTTGGTGGTAGAGTGTTTAAACTTTGGAGGTTTAAGAAAACTGGTGCTGTATCTTAAGCAGTCAGGCATGGTATGGGAGGTAAGAGAAGTCATTGGCCAAGACCAGGTCACAGAAAGCCTCACAGAGTAAACTAAAGAGTTTGGACAATGTCTATGGATTTCAGGAAAACAATAAAAAGATATTAAACAGGCAAGAGAAGTACAACTTTTCTTATGTGATGTATTTTACCTCTATTTGAAAATGATTTATGTAACCCACTCCTGATTGGTGAATAGACCCAGTATCCTGAAGCAGGTGGAGGTCCACTGCTGTCCTTTCCCTCTTGTCCAGGCCGTGGTTTTCTGAAAGGAGTTGAGGCCATGTACTTGAGGCCCACACCAGAGTCCTTGGTAGCCTGGGAACTATGGCTGGAAATCTAAAATAAATGACAGGACAGCACACCGTGTATTACAAATGGAAAGGCTGACCTTGAGAAATGTCAAAGTCTGCAGGAATGCTGAGATGTAGCAAAGCTGAGAAAGCACTTGGTTTCTTTTCATTATAGTAATTATTATTTTTCATAGTCAGAAGTGAGATGTGATTACAAGGTCACATAAACCGCAGTTCCATACACATGATTCAGTTTATTTACTTGCATCTGGACTTGATCAACAAGACAGTATTAGGGAAGCCATGCAGAGAGAAGGACTGTGTAAGCAATGGCTGGGGTCACGGCAGACTGGTATGTGAAAGTGAAAGGCTTGAAATGTGTGAAAGCAACCAAACTGATGTTTATTTAATCTCTTCAGAAATTATTTAATGAAAGCTTTCTCCTGTCTTTTGGTACCATTTTCTAGAAATAACAAGTCCTTGACAATGCTGAAATGGTAAAAGCACATTACCTATCTGTTTGGGTTAGTTTTATGCCATAATTTCCCATAAGAGAAACGAAAACAAGCTCTTGATAAGTGAGCAGGTCCCTGTGTTTTAGTCTCTCTTCTACCTGTGTTCACCTTTCCTGTGCTTTCTCTTCTTTTGCCTTGTCTTAATTCTCTAGCACTGCGGCAACAGACAACAGCAAACTTCAGTGGAATCTGAAGACACTAGTCATCTGCCGCCCTGGGAGCCTGGCATGTCTTTAAAGCTTGACTCTGCTATTCTCCACCCTTTCCAGCCTGAAGTTCTAGACTCCAGGCCATAATGTTTTGTTCTAATATACAGTGCTTCTGGTTGTGCCCAGCGTGTAGGCTTCCTTTAGGTTTCTGGAAGGGAGGATCTCAGATTCTGCTCTTCAGGTTCTGGTTAAACTTAGGTAGGTTTCTGAGATCCTAGCATGTTGAAGGCTGCTTCTCCCTTACTGTTGCTAGTCAGAAGGATGTCACCTAGCTCCTCTGCTTTGGGTGAGTACATCTTACGTAGTCCATTCCTTACTTTCCATATTTAGGTACCTGACTATTTGGTCTCCTTACCATTCCTTAATCTCTTCTTTTTCAGCTTCACTGATATAGCTCTGGTTTCTTTTGTTCTTCACTTGAAAGAGTTCAAACAGCCCCACAAAAAGTTTCCCTTGCCTTAAGTTTATATTCCAAAGTCAGCCAGAATACTCTTCCTACCCTGATCATGTTAACATACAACCTCAGTTCCCCATGACCTAAATAATTCAGTGAAAGCCCCTTTAAAAGAAGCATGACCCAAATCTACTTTTCTATCTCCCTCTTTCACTGTTTCCATAAACCTCCAGAGTCCTATAAGGGTACTTGCCATGGCTAAGCCAGCTTTCCCCTTCTACACAAGCTGTTTTCTCTCTCCCCAAAAGCCCGTGCCTTGCTGCTTGCTAAGTGCTGACTTTACGACACTGAGGTAAAGTCTTCCTTCCTGAACTTTCTCATGAGATGACTTCTTAACATCTCTCTATAACAAATCTGTTATCACAATAGTCATAATAGCACATCCTTGTAATCCAGCAACTAGGAGGCTGAGGCAGGAGGATTCCAAGTTCAAGGTCAAAATATGTCAGCAACTTAGTGAGAACCTCAGCAACTTCTCAAAAGAAAGAAAAAGGGCTGGGTAGGTAACTCAGTGGTACCCCCACCCCCTGTTCAATCCCCAGTACCCAAAACAACTCCTTAAGTCTGTTATAACATGCATATCATTGTTTTGTAATTATACTAGCATGCCCCAAAAGCAGGTGTCATCATACTCAAACTCTGCCAGAATCTTGGTCTAGACTTCAGTAAATACTAAACGTTTGTTAAAAGGAAATGAAATCCAGATACCTATTTTTCTGTCTGGGCCTCTGCACAATTATATACATGTTTTCAGCAGGTTCTCTGACTCAAGTCATGGTATCATCTTTTAGCATCCTCAACCAGGAAACCCCACAACATACCACCTGACTGCGAAAGGCAACTACTACCTTCTGTTGGAAAGCCCCGTTTTCATCTCAAATATTAAAAACACTGAAGAAGCTCAGTGCCGACAAGTTCTTGGCACCTATACACAAGTTTGGGGAAGGGGACAACGTCATAATTTAAAAAAAAATTTAGAATACACTTCCAGTGCCACAGAACTCCTACTTTTGATGATGGTGGTGGTGGCATAAAGTACCAACAGCCTCGTCTTCCGAAAGGACCTGCCAGACCGCTGATGTGATCATTCTGGGAAGAAACTTCACGGCGCAGTTCAGCAATTTCTTCTAAAACATTTTCAAAGCCTCCTTTGTTATCTGTAAAGGAAAGGCATTCTATGAAGTTGGCATTAAATCATCTACTTCCTTTCTTTCTCAATGTACAAAAGAGATTCCATGAGAGCCAGTGAATTTCATCAGTTCCTTAAGGCGACTTTCAGATGTCCTTTTAATTAGTTTTTGTAATAAGAGGATAGGTACATTAATCTCTCTTTCTGATTCCAAAGTAATTCAGGGAAAACAAATAAACAGACTCATAAGCATTATTTCTTTGAAAATTACAAATACAAACACCTTATCTCTAATCAAGTCCCTCAATACTCATACTTGACACAAAATGTTTTTTAAATTCTTTAACCTATTAAATAATTTTTGCAACTAAGTCAAGTATGGAATTTATTTACAACAGTTAAATACGTGTTTTAAAGGTAAGAAACAAACAGTTTGGTTTTATGACTACAAATAAAAAAATCAAAGCCCAATAATATCTTACCAGCCCCAGTGAGGTCTAGTAAATCCCGCAGTCTTGTGATATCTGACCTTTGCCTCTCCATCGTCTCATTTAGCTTCTCGATTTCTAGCACTTTTGAGTTTGCTCCTCCAGTACTTACATCTGTTTTTTCCATTTCAGTTCGAAACTATTAAAAAAAATTCATCATACAAAGTATCATGAATGAATCCTTTCTCAGATGTGTGTATCCCTGCAACTTGATTATAATTCTGTAATTCTGGGGGGGGGTACTGGGGATTGAACTCAGGGGTACTCGACCACTGAGCTACATCCCAGCCCTATTTTGTATTTTATTTAGAGACAGGATCTCACTGAGTTGCTTAGCATGTTGCTTTTGCTGAGGCTGGCTTTGAACTTGTGATCCTCCTGTCTCAGCCTCCCGAGGCGCTGAAATTATAAGCATGTGCTACCGCGCCCAGCATAATTCTGTAATTTTTATTTAGTCCTTACCAGTGAGGAAATCTCCTGACTCCTATATTTACACTGTGTTTCGTCCCTGCACACAATAGAGTCGAGTACTGATAGACTAATGATTGCACTTCAGATTTGATATATCACTTGAAGTACTTTCATCTTTTAGGAACTGAGAAAGATCCAGGAAGAAAATGGCTTGAGGACCAACACTGACCTGCTCCTTTGTCTCCCTGAGAAGATTCTGCAGGAGCTCGATCTCTGCTTCTGCTCGAGTCAGGTCCCTGGCGGCTCGTGCTGCCTTTCTGCTGAACCTCTCAACTTCCTGCAACTCCTACTGGGACACAGTATGAGGAGGCCATCACAGGTTGTCATCTTCATTCTTTCTCTCAGACTGATTCTGTTTTTGTCACATTGCCTGCCTAGGCTATCCCATGAACATGTGGTGCCAAACCCCACTTTCTCTGATGTTGCTCCCATCTGGGCAGCCTGATCCACTCTGGTCAAGTGGTCAGAGTGCTGCATTAGAAGGAACAAGGGCTTTTTCTTCACTGTTCTACAGTCTTCCACAATTGGTCTCTCTTTGGGGTCCCATCAATATATCTTTTTGGTCCTATGATCTTACTGTCATTAGTATCTGTATCCTATAAAGTACTGTAACAAACATTACTTCAGGAGTCATAACAGCCCTATGAGGTAACATTTTCATACAAATTCACAAGATTTAAGGTTAAGACAGATTATGTGACAGAACTTCAAAACTTTTGTCCTCATACATGTTGACAAACACCAAAGTCTATAAAAGTTGCTATGTTTTTTGCAGCAGTAGCAGCAGTGGTATAAGATAGTTCTGATTATGTGAACTAACCTCTGCCCTCTCCTGGTTAATTTTCATAACAGTGCCATGAAGGGACTTTAACTGGTCTTTGGCAATGGTGAGCTCGGCTGTAGCTAGCTTATCAGAGGCAGCCACAGCTTTCTTCAGACTCTTCAACTCTTTATCTAAACCAAGAAACTGCTCTTGAGATTTGGCATCTTCGTGTTTCTTCTAAAATTAAAAAAAAAAAAATTACTTAACTAGATGAACCATTTGGTAGCAATGAATTAAAATGTAAGCTTCAGAAACTGTTCTCCACTGCATGCACCATGTCAGAACAGTCCTGACATGTTAGCAGTCTATAAGTATCTACTAAACATATAAATAAAATTTAAAAATCTCAAAATTGGCATAAACTTTTTAAAGAATCAGTTTTCTTAGTTAAGAATCTCAGTGATCATAAATTTCATTCATTCAAGAAATGGACGGACCAGTCTTCAAAAATCACTGAATTAGGCTCTGGGCATTTATTGGTGAAGAAAGAAGTTGGCTATTTTTATTGTTGTTGTTGTTGCTTTGTGGTGCTGTGGATCAAACCCACAGCCTCACACAGACCAGGCAAGCACTCTATGATTGTATCACATCCCCAACCCCCAGAAGTTGGCATTAGGAACCAAAAGGAGAAGTATAATAAGAAAAGGGAAGAATAATATAGAGGCAAACCATTCAGGGTCTCATAGGCTTGAGACTGACTACAGTCAATTCACATTTTAGAAAGAGCACAGTGGTTGCTCTGTGGTCAGATGGCCACACTAGTTATCCACAAGAGAGATGAGGCCTAAACAAGGGTGGTGACATAAAAGAAGAAAAAAGCACATATACTCCAGATGTATTTTGGGGGTGGACTCAACAGAATTTGAGAACTATTGGGTTCTCAGTGATGTATACAGTAAATCAGTCACTGAAGCTGGGAGAAGGCAGATAGCAGGAATGAGTAAAAAGGCATGAGATCGTGCAGTGTGGGAGAGCAAGCTTACTGAAGCTTACTGAATGCTGCCCACAGGAGGCTGCCAACCTAAGATTATAATGATATGACGATGCTGGATGGGGGATTTTCTTTCTTCCAGAATACCTAGCATGGGTGCAGGCCCAGAGAAAGTAGGAGACAGGAGAAAAGGGGAAAGGATTTGAGGGTACCTTATAAAAAAACGGGCTTAGTGGTATACTGTGGAATTTAAATTAGATAAGAGAAAGTAAAGACAGAAAAGGTGCTATGGATCAAACCCACAGCCTCACACAGACCATGCAATCACTCTATGATTGTGCCACATCTATTAAAAGATAGAAAGGTAGGGCTAATGAACAACAAGCTCAATAAGGTTGACAAGTTGTTGGCATGGAGGTGTCAGCAAGATAAGAAGTTCCAATTAGGGTGGGACATTTCAGCTTCTGTCTTCAAAAATAGTGGGTGCAATTTCTGGATTGAACAAGTTCCATGTTGAGACCATGGGAGCAGATGTTTGAAAAAAGCAATCAGAGAAGCCAGGGTATTAGAAAGCAAGATGAGGAATTTAAAAGTTATTTCCCATGGATGTGTCCAATTGGTCAAGGGGTTTCTAAGGAGGCAAACTTATTCTATGATCATTTAAGTATCACCTGACTCTAAAGTTAGTCCTTATATTCCTAATTTTCGTTTTCATCTATCTTTGATGCCTTGGTCTTAGATCCTTGATTCAATGACATGCGTCCAAGTTTCTATTAGGTCAGATTTAGCTCTGTGCCAGCAATGCCAGCCAGAAACTATGGATCACACTAGTCAGGTGACTGGATCACCAGTGAGCAGGATCTGAGTAACAGGTACATATGTGTCTGACTTTCCTAGCCTTCCCACCTTTTTCTCTAATTCTTGGAGTTGAGCCAGAATTCTCTCCTTCTCTTCATCAGCTTCCTGAAGTTGGAGATCTGTAAGGCCTTGGATTTCTTCCATACTTTTTAGATTTTCTTGCAAATACCGAATTTCGTTCTCCAACTGTTGGATTCTTGCATTGTGATGTCGCTTATCAAAATTAATCTGTAAGAAAATCAAATTTCAAGTATTATTTTTAAGCAAAATATGTCTAAGCAAGATAAGAACTTGTTATGGAATTATCTTTCTCTTTACTATAGAATGTAACAAAATTTTGTACTAAAAAGTTCACTGGGGATGGTTTTATCTTGAACATTCTCTAGGATCCATTTGAATGTTTGCTTTATTATCACAATATCATTAGTTAAAAAAAAAACAAAAACAAAACCAAAAACCTCAATCCAGATTCTGGCATCACACTGTACTCTAGCAATGTGATCTTATTTGCCTCTCATAAAACATCTCTCACTTGCTTCCAAAACAAGGAAAACTGGCACAAATAGACTATATTCAGGTTGAATTTTAGTCACACTGAACTAGATTTGTTATGAGTAAAAATAACAACAGTTATGCTGAATTTATATAAAGGAAGCATTGTAATTTGGTCAAAAACATTAGCATTTGTCCAACACTACCCTCCAGCTGCCTCCTGCCCCTTCTTACTCGTGCTTCAAGGGCTCTTTCACAGGCTAGCCTGAACTCCTCTTGTCCATTCACCAGTTTTTCCTGCTGCAGAACCATTTCTTCCTGAAGTTTTCTTTCTCTAACTTGTGCTTCCTCTCTTTCCCATTGGGAATGTGCAAGGATTTCATTGAATTCTTTCTGTAAATCAGCAAGACTTTTCCCTAACACATCTGAAGAACTATAGATTCTGGTAAGAAAAGAAACAACATGACAAAAATGTGACATTTCATTTTTGATGCTACATGCAAAACATGCAGTTAACATAGGAAGAGCTGTGCAATCCACAGAAATGTACTGAGTCTTGCCAAGTGCAAGTGTCATTTTACCAAAGATTGAAATCACTCTGAAAACATAGGCTCATGTCAGGCTGAGAATAAATGTCCATATATTTGAAATAACCATCAGTTTTTTTTATATTTGTTGTTTAAACTATATAATGCAGTTCTAATCCTGACCATATATAATGAAAGTCTTTCATGAAAGACTCTTAAAGAGTCTTAAATTTTTAAATGTTTTTAAAATTAAAAGTACCAAAAAATTTTAAAAGTTCTAAAATGTAAAAAAAATAATCATTACAATTAGAATTAAATGATCTCATATCTCAGTCTCAGAAACTTCATAAGGAGAACCTTGCAAAAGAAATCAGGCCATAAACAGAACCTAGGAAGATGAGTTCATCTTTCAAACTCACACTCCAACTCTGAGGCTGTGAGGCACACTCTCTTCTTCGAGGTCTAGATTTCTCCTTACCTCATTTCCCCAGCTCCTAATTTCAGTTTTCTCCTTAGCTCATCCACACGAGCTGCCACTTCTTCTGGATGAATTAAACCATCAACCACATGGTTGAGGTGATTCTGGAAATCTTTAAGCTGCTGTTTTAAGAGGTTATTATCATCCTATGGAACGGGATGCAAGGGGAAGTGTCTGTTATATGATAGCATATTTCATTTCACTACTAACAAATTAATCAACATATCTAGATCACGGAATTAAATTCAGACAGTGCCTCTTTCAAATAAAAGTTGCTAATTTTCCTAAATTATAAAGCAAAACAGTTCCATATCCTAAACCATTGATTGTATTCTTTGGTATTAATAACTGGATGACTAACCTACTTCAAACTCAGCGTAACACTGTTAACTAAAGTGGAAAATCCAGAATTGCAATTAACATGTTTTAAACGCCTGTACCATCTGGAGTCCTTTCACCTGTAAAGTGTTCCTGCGTGGTGCCCTGATGCAGCCTTTCTTTTACACCATAGACAGTTCCCTACTTTAATAAGAAACCGTACTTGGAATTTTGATTTTTTTCCAGGCAGATAATACGTGTTATGATGTTCCCTTGTGATGGTGCAACAACCCATTCTCTACAGTGTATTGTGTGGCCAGTGTTTTTCAGATTTTGTTTTGTAGTTTTTGTATCCCATCATATTTCCAATAAGTTACATGAGATATTAATTTACCATAAAATTGGCTTTGTGCTAAGACGACTTTGCCTAACTTCAGGCTAAGGGAGTACTCTAAGTTTGTTTAATGTAGCCTAAACTATGCTATGCTATTCATCAGATTAGGAATATTAAAAGCAGTTTTCAACTTAATAGTGTTTCTTTTTCTTTCTTTCTTTTCTTTTTTTCTTTTTATTTTTTTGGTACAAGGGATTGAACCTCAGGGCCCCTAAACAGTGAGCCACATCCCCAGTCCTTTTTATTTTTTGAGACAGGGTCTTGCTAAATTGCTGAGGGTCTTGCTAAATTGTGGGGGCTGGCTTTGAACTTGCAATCCTCCTGTCTCAACCTCCTAAGATGCTTAAATTACAGATGTGCCCTACTCAACTTAATGGTATTTTCAACTTACAAAACCCTATTATAAACCAAGGAACATCTGCATTATATAATCCTGGCCACAGATGATGTGACAAGGCTAGCCAGACTAGTGAGAAAATAGCTTCTGGGAAGCTGAACCAAGATTCAGTACAGCAAGTCCAAATAAGTGCTGAGCCTGAAAAGATATGTTCACTCAGAGCTGGAGTCCATGCTGGGCCAAATACAATTCCCAGAGAAACTGGGAAGGAAAAATGAGGGAGTCATGTAGCCCCTAAAAAACTAATAGAACCCTCTGGTTCCCAGCAAGCTGTCTCCTTTCTTGAGCTTACATGAGCAGTTTTCAGTCCTTTGCAACAAAATAATTTCTGAGAAAAACAAATGTAGAGTGAGTGAACTTGTGAGTGAACTTATATTGGGAGGTTAGTAGGCCAAGTGACCAAGGACCTGGCTCTAATTAAGGTAGTCCTATGGCATGGCCAGTCTTTTGGAAAGCTAATTTTAGCTTCTACCTTGGAGAAGGCCCCCAAAGAATATTTTAGTACTTTCCTGTAAGAGATATATACTGAAGTATTTATAGGTGAAACAAAGATGTATGAGATTTTTAAAAAAATATCCTGGCCAAAAAGAGATGGACTAAATGAACAATGAACAGACAATTGTTTAAACTGGATCACGGACAAATAAAGGATCATAAGACTATTCTCTGTGTTTTTTAGATTATTTCAAAATTCCCATAGTAAAAATAAACACTAATAATCCAGTGACAACCAACACACACAAACTCACTACACACACACCTCTCACATAAGAATGTAAAACTTGTACATCTTTTATAGTATTTGCTTCAGAAGTTAAACTGATAGCAGTAAAAATTTAAAATTCTACATTATCAGATTTCCTTAAACTTTGAGGAAAAACATGTATGAGGTTTTGAAAAGAGAAAATTTGCATGAGCATAGTCTTAATTTATTAGAATCCTCCCTGCACTGTGTTTTGGAAGTCTTCCCCCAAACCAAGTCCTTTCCCCCCATCCCCTCCCCTCCCCTCCCATAACTTCTCTCTATCCATCTATGGTGATGCTATTCTCTCTCTTTTTTTCCCTCACATCTTCATACATGTATTTTGTGTAACGATGAGGGTCTCCTTCTATCTTCCTTGCAATTCCCCTTCTCCCTCCCTTTATTCCAAATGGTAAATAGCAGTCATCCACATAATCCAGAGCAGATCTGAAGATCTGCCTGCTGGTTCAGGTACTTTTTGCTGAGACATCTGTCTTCTTTGGTAGAGTTTAATTATCAAGAAAATCCTGTCCAACTGCAGTTTTTTGGGCAGATTATTTTGAGAAGAGCTATAAAAATATTCTGTAATATATTCTTCACAAAAGTAAAATCATTATATTTTTAATAGCATCCTGAGGATGGTGAAAACTGTTTATAATTAAGAAATTCTACTGCAACCCACTCTAGTTAAATTCATAGATAATTTCAAAGATTTCAGCTGAAGAGGAATGCACAAATCTAATTATTTTAGCTCAATCTGGTGACAAATCAGCTTCTCAGAGAAATACAAAAGTACTGATTTCCTCCATGAATTCACACAGTACATTGTTTCCTATTGACATTGTTTCCATCTCTTCACATCATCATTAACAATGAAGGGAATATTCACATTAATAATCTTAAAACCATGGTCATAAGGGAATAGAGGCTATGGTACTGCCTGCCCAGAATTTTAAAAAATAATAATTTGAGTTGCTTATTACATGTTATAAAGGTTATTGTTAAATGCCTGACTAAAGATATCACCTTTGGATGCCCCATGTACAAATACATTCCAAAGCAATAAATCTATACCTGCAGCTGCTTAAGCTGTGTGCGAAGTTCACTGTTCTCTCGTTCCTTTTCTTCTGAGAAATGGGCTTTTCCAAGGGCATTCTTGAGAGATTGTCTTTCCTTCTCAAGTTCTGCTTGAAGTGTTGATTGTTCTAACTGATGTTATAGAAAGCAACGATATAAAAGTGTAAAATAGCAATAATTTATGATCCAAAAAGGCATAAATACACATACATACACAAGCCCTTTCTAGCTATATTTTAATAAGTTTAATTTGTACTCTGAAAATTAAAAACCCACAATAATTTACTGCAAGTCTTTTAAACCATTAATTCTTTAAAAAATTTTTTTTAAATTTTTATTTGTTTTAATTAGTTACACATATCAGTTCAATGACCTTGATATATCATACATTTGAATCAGATGGGATATAATTTCTCATTTTTCTGAGTGTACAGGTTGCAAAATCATATTGATCATGCAGTCACATATATACATACAGTAATAATAATGTCTATTTCATTCTACTATCCTTCCTTTTCCCCCACGCCCTCCCCTCCACTCCCCTTCCATCACTCAGCTCGGGAGGCTGAGGCAGGAGGATCACAAGTTCAAAGGCAGCCTCAGCAACTTAGTGAGGCCCTAAGCAACTTAGTAAGACCCTGTTTCAAAATAAAAAAAGGGATGGGGATAGTTAAGTGCCCCTGGGTTCAATCCCTGGTGCCACCACCCCAAAAAAAAAAAGGAAAAAAAAATCATCCTTCCTTTCTTTTATTTTAAGATTAAACGCTTTGTAATGCATGTATGTAGAGTGACAGGAAGATCACATTTTCCAAGTCAGACATTCTGTTCAAATACTAGCCCTGTGTGACCCTGGCAAATTACTTCATGGCTCTGAGCCTCCCAGCCTCTTATTATTCTGTGAAATGGCAAACAGTGAGGTTAAAGGAGATAATAGACATGCAAGCACCTGGTAGTTGATATTCAATAAATTCTGTTTTTTATTTCTCAGAATAGCTTTAAGGGATTTCTTTTAAGTTGCTGTTAAATTTTACTTTACTGTTTCCTTTTATGGTTGGTTGAAAGAGCGACTAGTTTATTATACTTGAAAATTAGAATGAACATTATCATCCAATAAATATCTATTGATTGTCCATTGAGGTTCAGGTGCTTTGGATGCTCTAGGGAACATCACAGACATAGTCACAGATGAAGCAGGTGTAGGAAAAAGAAAAGGACAGTATTCTGTGGCAGAGAAAGGGATAGTCATGGAAGAGTACCCTATAGCAATGATGTTTCAGCTGAGGATTGAAGAATGAGCAGGATGTGGCCAGGAAGAGAGGCAGGGGTGAGTGTTCTAGACAGAGGAGCAAGGAGAGAGAACACAGTGCATATGAAGTGCTCAAAGTATCCTTGTAGGTACGAGGAGAGAAGAGTGAGAAAGAAGGCCAGAAAGAATGGCTGAGCCCAGCTGTAGTATATTCTTTGTTAGATTGAATATACAATTTTATTTAGGTTGATAACAAAATGGCTGCATTTTCCTACAGGAAAGACCACCTTTATCTTCTCCCTGCTAAAAATCCAAGTTCTGAACTCTACTTTGATTTTCCTAGAACCTGTGCTTAGTCAAGGCCTTTTTTTCATAAGTATGATGATCACCTGTTTAGATTGTTTGTCTCTCCTCAGCTAGACTCCTAACTTAGAGAATGCCCAAACTACTTGTTTCTGTTCCCTCAGAACAGAAATTAAACTGGCACATGAGAAAGGTCAGTATGTGCACATTGGATGAACATGAAATAAGATAGTATGAATGTCAAAAATGTGTGTAAAAGAACATTGGTATGATTAGAAGGGGAGCTAAGAGTAGGTCTGGTTTATTATAGTAGTTACTTTATTGTATTTCCTTACTCATCAGATACCAATCATTTGGCATTTGTCAGGGTTATACAAAGAGCACGAAGTTTTATAAAACTATAGTTGACAGATGAGAGTCATGGAAAACAAGAGGTTGGGGAAAACAATGAAAATAACAGTAAATACATATTTTTAATAAAAGTAAATAAAATTTCCAAATGGTATCCTTTAAAATTCTTTCCTTTTTTTAAGACAGCCCTTACTAGTTTCAATTTACATATGTATATACACATGTATGAATATGTGTATATACGTGTGTGTGTGTGTGTGTGTGTGTGTGTGTGTATTTCTTTGTACTTTCATTGTCTTTTTTTTTTCTCCTAATTCTTGATAAAAAGGTTACAAGAGCCTGGCCTTTTTACTGATCACTTGGTATTGAAAGAGATACTCCTCCTCTTAGCACTAGGACTGCCAAGATTGGTCTTCACATCATACTTTGAGAATATGGAACATAATCTGCAGATCTACAGATCTCTGATTGGTACACTTAAGTTACATGAAATCTCTTATCAAGCTTGTTCAATGTAGATTCCTGGATTCCACCATAGAGATTTTAATCTATCAGTCCAGGATGGGTTCTGGCCATCTGCATTTTTATAGATACACCAAGGGATTTTGATACTTGTATTTGAGGACATAGTTTGCTTTTGAAATTAGATGTTTGGGGCCACCTGAAATATTATGATTTGATATATTCGGCTCTAGCTGATCCTGAAATTAACTCCTTTAAGAATTAATAGTTTAGGGCTGAGGTTGTGGCTCAGCGGTAGAGCACTCACCTAGCATATGAGAGGCCCTGGGTTTGATCCTTACCACAATATGAAAAAATAAATTAATAGAGGTATTCTGTCCAACTACAACTAAAAAATATCATGCACCATGATCAAGTGGGATTCATCCCCGGGATGCAAGGTTGGTTCAACATATGGAAATCAATAAATGTAATTCACCACATCAATAGACTTAAAGATAAGAACCATATGTTCATCTCGATAGATGCAGAAAAGGCATTCGACAAAATACAGCACCGCTTTATGTTCAAAACACTAGAAAAACTAGGGATAACAGGAACTTACCTCAACATTGTAAAAGCTATCTATGCTAAGCCTCAGGCCAGCATCATCCTAAACGGAGAAAAATTAAAGGCACTCCCTCTAAAATCTGGAACAAGACAGGGATGCCCTCTCTCACCACTTCTATTCAACATAGTTCTTGAAGCACTGGCCAGAGCAATTAGACAGACGAAAGAAATTAAAGGAATAACTATAGGAAAAGAAGAGTTTAAAGTAGCACTATTTGCTAATGATATGATTCTATACCAGAAGACTCAAAAGGCTCTACCAAGAAACTTCTAGAACTAGTAAATGAATTCAGCATAGTGGCAGGATATAAAATCAACACCCATAAATCAAAGGCATTTCTGTATATCAGTGACAAATCCTCTGAAATAATGAGGAAAACTACCCCATTCACAATATCCTCAAAAATAAATAAATAAATAAAATACTTGGGAATCAACAAAAGAGGTGAAAGATTTATACAATGAAAACTATAGAACCCTAAAGAGAGAAATAGAAGACCTTAGAAGATGGAAAGATATATCTTGCTCATGAATAGGCAGAATTAATATTATTAAAAATGGCCATATTACCAAAAACACTTTACAGACTCAATGTGATCCAATCAAAATCCCCTCGGCATTCCTCACAGAAATAGAAAAGGCAATTATGAAATTCATCTGGAAGAATAAGAGACCCAGAATAGCTAAAGCAATTCTAAGCAGGAAGAGTGAAACAGGTGGTATTGCTATACCAGATCTTAAACTATACTTCAGAGCAATAGTAACAAAAACAGCATGATACTGGCACCAAAGCAGGCTGGTAGATTTCAGGTGTTGTGCCACCTTAAGGTGGTATCTTAAGGCCCGGGTTTTTAAAACTTAGTTTCTGATTGGCACATGGCTCTTACTTACCTGAGTAAGCCTTGCGAGTTTTTCCAACTCTTCCTTGAGCTGGTTGGCTTCAGCATCTCTTAGTTTTAGCTGAGCCTCCAGCTCAGCTTCATAGGCACTGAGATCTCCTTGAGTCTGCTGCAAGGATGCATTCACTTCATGCTGTTCCTGGAGGGCACTTTCTAGCTCTGCAAGCTCCTGAAAAGATTCAGTGTGTTTAACTGTGGAACCCTCACTGTGTTACTTAAGCATCTGCAAGTCATTATAAGTAACTTGTGCACTGTAAACTGAGGCTTGCCAGCTGTTGCTGCCTGACTGATAACAGCATGATGAAGCCTCAGGCTGTGCAGCCTAATTGGAGAACAGAACCCTGACTAAATGTAATCAGAAAAGTCAGGAAGCTACCAACCCATTGCTTCCAAAGTAACCAGTTGTGTGATCCTTTAAAAGAATCTGAAAACATACAAAGAAAGATAGGACAGAAAAAAATAAAGAGGGTAAAATTTAAGGCCTATTTTTTATCAGAAATTGGATTAAATGTTTTCACATTTATTTTATTGTATCTTCAAAATAACTATGTAAGGCAACTTAAAGTTTTACAGATGAAGAATTGAAAAATGAACATCTCAATAAATTGCATAATGAGGTATAGCTAGAAAAAGGATGAAATCAAGATATGACCTAGACCTCTCACTCCAAAGCCCACAGCTCTTCCTATTAAATCACAGTATTTTCACTGAAGAAAATGGGATTGGCACTCTCTAATATTAAGGATGAGAGAATAAGTTAAATGTGTGCTAATAAAAATATAAATACATATTGGTTAGCATACTACAGTTCTAATTCACTTTAGTTTGTTTTTTGAAATTAAATGTTACAGTTTTCACCTATTTGGGATCTTGAAGAATTAGATAGAACTATTCCAGATTAAAGAGGAGGATCCTGTGATAAGAACTTTTACAGAAAAATTTCTCAGTGGGCAAAGACCACTGGGCCTATCTCAATCACTTGGGTTTCTTGTGTGGAATTCAGATACCACATATAATCAACAAAGGACTAATAGCCAGAAAAAATAATTCCTGTAAGTCATTAAGGAAAGACAATCCAACAATAACAACAACAAAAGGCAAAGAATATGAATAGGGAGTTCACTGAAGAAGAACCCTGAATGGCAAATAAACAAATATATGCTCAACTTCTCCGGTAATCAAGGAAAATGTGGTTAAAATAAGATACTATTTTATATGGAGTATAAAGGAACAAATTAAACAAACCACAAGAAATAATCAGGCAAATCCAGAATGTGTGAAAATCTACAGCACTATTCACTTTGATTCTCACAAACATTCACCCTTTATACACATGTCCACATGCGCACATGCTATAAAAATATTAGGATAAGGAAAAACTGGAATGTGGTTCAGGTCTTTGACGACACTAGGGAATTACTGCTAGCTTTCCTAGGTGTAATCATGGTACTATAGTGATGTAGAAATAATCTACATTTTAATAATCATTTTAAGAGATGTATGATGAAAGGGTGATCTTATATCTACCACTTTCTAATGATCAGGAAAAAAAAAGGTATGTTATCTATGAGACAGAAAATAAATTCAGCAAAATATTTATTAAATCTAAATGGCTCACAGATAAGCCACTTCAACTTTCCTGTATGTGTAAAAAATTTCTTAACACAAAGACTGGGAGGGAGGTATCATTTAAAACTCAGCAGAGTGGCAAACATGAGGTTTGACAAAATATTACATTTTCTGACTCTAAGAGTTATTCTGTTTTTACCTTGAAAAAAGTGTTTTAGGAAACACAGGCTGAAATATAAGGGGCAAAGGCAGATGAATTCTCAAATGGTCTATGAAAAATATCTATTTAAAATATACATAAAATTATGTAAAATTACATGGAGATAAAGCAAATGGGGCAAAATATTAATTGTTGAGTGAATGAAAAATAAGAACAAAATAACTCATTAAAGCTTAAAAAATAAAAGCCTCACACTGTTGGTGGTAGTAGACTTGACAGAATCACTATGGACAGTAATTTGACAATATTTAGTGAAGTTAATTAAAGATGCATGTTCTCTCTGATCCACTTCTGATCACAGTTCTCATGTTAGCCAGACTTCCCTTACTATGAGAAAATACCTGAGATAATCAACTTAAAAGGAGAAAATATTTATTTTGGTTCATGGTTTCATTCCATGGTCACCTGGACCTGCTGTGGCACAAGACATCATAATGGGAATGCATGGAGGAAGAGACCTATTCACCTCATTGAGGCCAAGAAGAAAACAGAGAAAGGGGGGGGGAGGGAGGGGCTGGTGTCTTCATATATTCTTCAAGGCTATGACTCCAATGACCTTACTTTCTTCCACCAGGCCACACCTCCTAAAGGTTCCACTACCTCCCAACAACAACACAGGCTGGTGGCCAAGACTTTTACATATGGGCTTTTAAAGATTTTTATCCCAATTCCAGCAGTCCCCAGGGTCAAGATGTGTTTAAGAATGTCAGCATTATCTGTAATAGCAAAAGGCTGAATAATACCCAAGTGTCCCCCCAAAAGACAATGAATAAATAATAATTATGTATACACAATGTATACACAATTAATGCTACTCTCATTAATAAAAATAGAGCTGCAACTATCAATGTGCATAATTCTCAAAAACATAAATGAAAGGAAATGCCAAAGAATAAGTACACTGACCTTTCATTTAAATATTTAAAATCACAAATAAATGTTTACATATATAATAAAAGAACAGAGATGCAGGGAAATAATAATATTCAGGATTTTGTTACCTTTGGAAGGGAGTACATAGAGGTTTTTAAATTTATCTGCAATGTTTTATTTATTAAACTGGGTTATGGGTTTCAATTTATAAAAAAAATCATTAAATAAACACTTTTACTTTTTGCTATTTATAACTACCATTTTTAACTTCTTCATCTAACTTAATTTGAACATCATCTACTTCTGAAGTTAAGGAAAACAGGAAAGAAGAAACAAATCATACCTTCCTCATATTTTCTGCATCCATAGCAACTACTTCCAGTTCATCCCTCTCCTGCTTGACTTCAGTTAACCTCTGTAGCAATGTCTCTTTCTCATCCTGTAGCTTTCTACATTCATTTTGGGCTTGAGTTGCCTGGTCTTTGATGGTTCCCAGATATTCCTGCAATCCACTGATGACACCTTCTAAATCCTTCTTCAGAGCTTCATTTGCTGCTATCTGGCCTGAGCAAGATGGAAAAAGGTTAATAATGTATATTTTAAAAGTACTGCTTTTGGGGTTGGGGATGTGGCTCAAGTGGTAACGTCTGGCATGTGTGAGGCACTGGGTTCGATCCTCAGCACCACATAAAAATAAAAAATAAAGATATTGTGTCCACCTAAAAAAAACCCTAAAAAGTAAATTAAAAAAAAAGTACTGCTTTTTCTACTCAGTGATTTGTTGCAAACCAAGAGTGAAATTCTAACCTTCTAATTATATCCTATCTTACTTTTTTTTTCTCAGGATGCAATGATACTTTTCTTATTATTATTCACAGTACAGAAATATTAAGCAGGTACAGGATAAAAAGAGTATATTTGTGGGAAATTTTGACAAAATGCCTGATTCATGCTGCAAAATGTTTAAATAATTTCTAAATAAAAATGATAAAAATATGCACTAAAACTGAGTTCTTGTTGCTGAAAACACAAAACAAAATCACTCAATATACAAGACTATATACTATTTGAAGACTGGCAGTATAAACACATAACCTAAAGACTAAAAAAAAAAAAAACAAACAAATAAAAAAATCACAGTATACACTGGATACCCACTATGTCACCACTTTCTGAACACTCTCTTAATTCTCTCAACAACTCATGATCAAGAGAGAAATGTCTAAGATGACAGTTGATAGTAGCAAAACAAGGACCATGCTGTTTTTTAAGCTGAGCCCAGGTTCCTATTGTCTTCCTTTTCCACTATTATGGGAATGCCACAATTTAAATTAATGTTGCAAAAGTAGACCCTAAAGTTCTTCCTATGCTCTTCCTATACTGAGACGCTGACTTTCCAGATGACAGAAGACTCTTTGCTCCTGAAAGGGTTTTATGCCATAGAAGACAGTCACATGGAAGCACTTATTGTCATCGTCTACTGACTTTTGGCTCACTGAGTGGACTGACCTGACTTACTAGGCAGTAATGCAACAAAACATACTAAAGCAAAATTTAAAAATTTTTTCTAAACACTTTTGGGTACCCTGTAAACATTTCCCTATCAATTACTAGCACCAAAAGCTGAACTAAGCTAATATCTAGATTAATGTGTCTGCATATCATCGTTCTTTGAATACTGAAACTGACTGATCTTACATCAACCTTAAATTCTCACCTTCAGTAAGTTGCTCTTCAAGGTCCTTAATCTCTTCAGTCTCCTTAGCAATTCTAGAAAGTATTTCATCCAAACGGCTTTCAAGCTGTTTGTAGTGCTTGTTCATAATGTCAAGCTGTTGTTCTTTACCCCTTTTCTGAGCCTTCATATGGGACTGAATTGAAAAAATAAATTCTTAAGGCTTTAAAAAATAATAATCCTTAAAAACATTTTTAAAGGAAGACTAGAAAATATAGTGATTTGCATTTATTTTGTGTCAGGCCTGTACTGCTTTCATGTGAACAGTTTTCATTTAAATTTCAGCATAACTTGATTGGGAATCATATTTGTTCTATAGATAAGAAAACTGAGGATCAGGGAGGATAGATGACTTTTCCAAGCACACAGTTAGAAGGTAACATAGCCAAGTTCAGTATTATCTATTGGGCATTAAAAGGTGTCCAAGCCCTAAAAAACAAATGTCAAATGTCTTCTTTGATATAAAGAGAGCCACTAAGAATAGAACAGGAAGGAAGAGCATGAGGAAAAGACTAATAGTAAACTAAGACGAATGGGGGGAGAGAAAGGAAGAGAGAAGGGAAAACATATGGAAATGGTAGGAGACCTTCAGTGATACACAAAATTATAAGAGGTTATGAGGGGCAAGGGGATGGGGGGAAAAAAAGGGGAGAGAATTGAACAACAGCAGAGGAGGTAGAGAGGGAAGATGGGAGGGGAGGGGAGGGGAGGGGGGATAGTAGGGGATAGGAAAGGTAGCAGAATACAACAGTCACTAATATGCCATTATGTAAAAATGTGAGTATGTAACAGAAGTGAGTCTGTATTATGTATTTGGGGAGTTCAAAACCCAATTGAGTCGAATGTATGAAAGATGATATGTCTTGAGCTCTGTAATGTTTTGAACAATCAATAAAAAAAAAAAGAAAAAAAAACAATAAATAATATTCTCACCAAATGAAAAAAAAAAAAGAATTTCCAGACAGTTAATTTATTATATTGAAATACATTATGTTTATGGAAAAAGACTTAAAAGTACCTTCCAAAATGTTAAAAGGAATTATATTTGGATGGAAAGATTACAGAAAATATTGTTTCTTTATTCATGAGTTGTTTTAATATTTAGAAAATTCTGATATAAATTCTATAAAGTAATGCCTTTTTTAACCTCAAAACAAAACAAAATAAAACCCTATATTCAAATGTACCTTAAAGTTTCTTAGGGAAAATAAAGATATGAGATAAATAAATACTTGGGATTCAAGTTTATTTTCAATTTGTTCTGCAAACAAACATTTTGCTTTTAGATTCCATAATCTGGGAACTGGGAGGGACCTCAAAGACATTGGGAAGACACACGCCTCTAACACCACATAGGCCTCTGGTGGAAAAAACATCTTCACACACACACACACACACACACACACACACACACACACCCTAATAATCACCACATTGGAGAGCCAATGTTAACCGAGTGGATTGTATTATTTCTCAGATGTGCTGGGGGTGGGGGGGAATTGAGAAATGCCGATCTTTTCAAACCTTTAATTTCACAAATAAGAAAAATGAATCTCAGATCCATCAAATGACTTGTCCATGTCTCCTTAGGCAACTGTTCATATGGAAACAATTCCCCAGAGAACTTTTGCCTTCCCACTTACCCCACTCCCAGCCCCATGACTCTAAATTTGCCTCCACAAGATCAGAGGAACACAACACCTAATGAAAAAGCTATCAGGAGAGAAACCTGTATCAGAGTCTGAACAACAAAGACCCATTAGATCAAAAAAGAACACTTCTCAATTTTAGGCATCTGCTTCCCCCAAATACTTGAAAGAAATGTCTCTTCATTTTCTGAAGAACAAAGTGGCAACTTGACTGGGAGGTTTTTATTTTATTACTGGTAAAACTTGGAATTTTCAAATCTTGTCTTTCCTCACATTCCCAAAATACCCATCTGAAATCGTTCTGAAAAGGTTAACTGCAGATTTCAGCTTACATCCTACCTACGAATTTGTACGGCTCAAGGAAAAAAAAAAATTGCACTCTAAATGAGTAAGTCTTTAAAATTCACCATTTAAAAGTCCACTGAAACCACTTCATATGCAGGACAAAAATTTGGTTCAAAATACCATGTGCATAAAACACATGGAGCAACAGTACATCATGCAATGTTCACCCCCATGGAGCTCACAGAAGAGTTATTGTAAAAACAGGAACTTACATCTGACTCCTCCTCCTCCTCTAAATCCTTTGTACACACAGAGAGAAAATGATCCGTACCTTAACTTAGAATTTGTCGTGTTAAAACTGAGCCGTTGAGCACAGAGAAACTGGGCGGAACGCTTTCTAACGCTATCTTCAAATTCATGTGCACTTCCCTCTCTGACGGCCACATTTTTGCAAGTTTCACGAACCTCAGTAACTTCCCAGCGCCTCAAACCACATTCCTGGCCAAAAGTGAGTGGCAGCTCAGCCTGTCCAGTCACTAGAGCCTCTGCTGGCAGGCCCCACCCTCCTAGCTTTAAATCATAACACAGGAAGCTCCCCAGGGCCAATCACGCCCCAACGCCACAGAGATCGCAGAGATCGCCACAATGGAATTCCCTCCAGAGAACCGCTACCTTTTGCTTCCATCGGACATTTCCCGACAGGAGAGATCAACCAATCTTCTTAATCATATTTGCTAATGTGATATTTTGCTTCTAGCTACGAATAACTAAAATGTGACCTGATTTGAAACTTAGTTTAATTAATATACATATTTAAAACCTGACTAGACTTAGTTCTGAATTAATGTTAGAATGCTCCCTTTTTGAGGGTGGCGGGGGAGTGCTGAGGATTGAACCAGGGCCTCAAGAATGCTGGGCAAGCGCTCTACCACTGAGCCCACCGAGTTAATTTTAAAATAATTAATTTCTCTAGATCTCTAATCCCTTTGTGAGGAGTTGGCATAAGTAAGGACTCTACCTCTTCCTAAAAGGGTGATTTGGGGGCAAATCACTTACTTCCCAAATCACATTTTCATTCTCTTCAAATTGAAGGAAAAAAAAAAAAACACAAATCTGACATGGATGGGATGATTAAAAAAAAAAAAAAGAGTTTGCAGCATATGCAAAATACTGGCACAATGCAAGACATGTGGGTGCTTAATATGTTTGTTTTCTATAATATCTTCAATTACAGTCCAACTTTTACTTTCAAATTCTATTTGCTATTCAGAAAGATACTTTTATCTAACTAGATAATACAGGTCAATTAAATAAAAGTCTATCTAAGTCTAAAGAAAAATATACATAAATCACACTCTTGATTCTTTCTCTTTTGCTAAACGGCTCACATTTTGTAGCCTACAAGGGGTGCCTACCACTAGCCAATATGTGTAGCAACTTCAAGTAAATTAGAAAAAGATACTCCTTCTAGGTGAACAAATTAAAAAGAGATGCCCTCTGCTGTGGGGACCAAGAACTAAGAACTAACTTTTAGTAGTTTTAAACAAAACCAAATGGGAAACTTAAACCTGGTTTGTATGTTCCACCCCTACTAGCACAGACTGATTCTGGCTACCTTCAAAACTTGGACAACATTCCTATGTCTCACTGTGCCCCTTTCTATATGTAATTCTTTACAGAGATTCAGTGAAAATTAAACTCTCCATCTGCCAAACACACAACCTGGGTTTTAATTAGACTCAGATTATAGAACTGGAAGGGGCAGCACATGAGCCTGTGGGCTGTTCCTTCCTACCCCCCAGAAGGCAAACATTCATAAACAGAGGGCTGGTCCCTAGAGACACAGATAACCTTACTTAGATGGTAGCTTTCTAAAACAAATAAATACAATAAGATATTATCAACCTCATTACACATGCAGAACTTTAAATAAGCAATTTTTCATTTAATAAAAATTCTTTAAAATAAGATTAATTTTGATTTCAATTTTAATAAAGTCTCAGGCTTTTATTAGAAAAGACTTCATAAATGTGGAAGCTAGAGAGAGAGAAAAAAGGAACAAAACAAAGGTATTTCACAGAATAGAAGAGAGGTAATAGAGTAGATAGGGAGGAGGGAGGAAGAGAGGACATGGGAAAGTATTGGGGTACAAAATGTACCAAATTATGCTATGTCCATCTACAAATATATTACAATGAATCCCGTTTGATTGTATATATAATCATAATGCACTAAATTAAAATAATGATAATAGAAGGGAGATTAGTAGAGCAAGTGGATGGGGGGGAAAGGAAAGGGAAAGTACTGGGGAATGAGATTGATCAAATTACATTATGTGCATGTACAAATATGGCATAATAGTTTACTAAAACATTTCAAAGAATATTACATAACCTGTCAAGTACTTAAAGCAATTACAATTGCATGTTAGATTCTGTGATAACAGTTAATTGAAAGATCTTAAAGTTTTTTAAAAAGATATCCTTACTATTCAAAATATGTCAGGAAAATGTTTAGGAAATACTTTCACTTATTTTAGGAATACTAGTTCACATACAAGCCATTAGTAAGATTTCTCAGAATACTGAAAGAAAGACTTAAGCCTGAACCTAACAGTCGTCACCTGACCACATCTGATCACATCTTAGGAAGACATACTCCTGAGAAAAGTTTCTTTTTAAGGACAAAAAAATATTAAAACAACAAAAAAGCTTTAGCAGAATATTTGCATAAAGTATTAAAGAGGTAGAAAAAGAACTTTGACCCCCTTCAGCAAGGAAAGAGAAGGAGTTAAGTTTGGAGAGCATCTTGGAGCAAGTTTCTTTAGTTCTGAAATAAAACGAAACTGTTAAGTGTACTCTGCGGCTGTCACTTACTGAAAGGTACTTTCTTGAAGACTAGTTTTGTTCTGAACTCATTCACACATTCCCTATGTATATACACATGTATTTATGTATATGTATAAATATATATGACACATACATACATACATATAATGTATATAAATTATACATACATATATGCACATCACTTAAATTATACATCAAACCAAAAAGAGACATGCAGAAAGGACTTTACTGCTAAAATTAGTGAGACAAGTACTATCTAGAGAGAATAATATTCAAATGTCCATAGAAGAAGTCTAAATTTCTTAATTTACTTACATGTTTTGGGTCTTTGGAATCCAGGGTATCTAGGGCTATTTGCAGGTCCTTGATCTCCTTCTCCTTTTCAGCAATTTCTTGTCGCTGCTTTTCCATATGCATTTCTAGATCCAGAGTTTCCTGGCGTAATTTATTTAGAAGTTGTATTCTACCACTCAACTGCTTGAAAAGAAGGTCTTTTTCTGCTTCTGAAATCTAATTCCCCCACACCCCAACAACACTGATTTATAAAGACAACTTCCACAATGTAAAAAATATTTTATGTTCTATCAGGTTCCACCCTCATTTTTTTTGGTCCTATGGATTGAACCCAGGGACACTGTACCCCTGAGCTACATCCCCAGCCCTTATTTATTTATTTAGAGACAAGGTCTCACTAAGTTGCTGAGACTGGCCTCAAACTTGCAATCCTCCTGCCTCAGCCTCCTGAATGGCTAGGATTACAGTTGTGTACCACCACGCACAGTTTTCAGATTTCTCTATAAATTAAAATGTGGTAGTTATCTAGGCACTCCCCTATATCTTATTAAGTAGAAAACCTTATTATTTTACTAGTTTGTGAAAACTGATAATTTAATAGGTACAGTTGTCATTCTAGTATAAGCAACTTGTAAAATGTTAATCATAAACCTAATATTACAGATAGCTGATTTTACATAGCACTTACTATGTGCCTGGTACTGTTCTGAACTCTTTATATGCTTCAATTTACTTCTCAAAACATATAAAGTAGAAAGCATATTTATTGTAATTTTACAGATAGGAAAACTGAATTATGGAAAATTTAGATATATTGCCCAAGGTCACACAAGGAGATTAGATATGTGAAAAAACATGCAAATAGAAGCTTAGAAGGAAATAAGACTAAATATTGTGATGATCATACAATTCCCCCTAATCACAATACTTTCATAGTCAGGAATTGAATTTAAAATTCTGTGTTACCTAGATAAGATCATCTCAACCACAGAATTATAAAAGCTCTTGTTAAAGCCAGGTGTGACAGTACACACCTTTAATCCAAGTTACTCAGGAGCCCAAGCAGGAGGATAGCAAGTTCAAGGCCAGCCTTAGCAACTCAGAGAGACCCTGTCTCAAAAATAAAAAAATTAAAAGGGCTGGGAACGAGCTCATAGAACACCCTGGGTTCAATCCCCAGTACAACAAATAAACAAACAAACACACACACACAGTCTAAATATTTTTCAGTGCTTTTCCTATAATACTGATGCTGTTTAACTACATATTTCCTTTTTACTTTTTAAACTTGTTTATTGTCTACCAGTCTGTCCACCAAGGAAGGACACATGTCTGTCCCACTAATTAAATTGAAATTTTTATTTTACTGGTAAGAACGAGGCTGAAACTTACCTTAGCAGGTCAAGTAAATAAGCAGTATAAAGAACAATTTAGGGTTACATTTACTCATTTAAATAAATAATTATTTTTCCAATCATATTTATAAACATCCATTTATTTCCAAATCATGCATATTATTAACATCTACCTGTATAGTCAGTTTACTGTAAAATATTTAACTATTAAAACCATCTTGAGGGACTAGGGTTTGGCTTAGTTGCCTAGCATGTGTGAGACACTGGGTTCAAGTCTCAGCACCACATATAAATAAACAAAATATAGACCCATTGACATTTAAAAAATATTAAAGACAAAAAAAATCTCGATGCTCCATCCACCTGGCTTCCCACTTTCAATTCATCCGGAAGCCCTGACAGTTCTCCTGCCCATTTGACCTGCAATTTGGTTGGCTTTCTCTCCCTAGCCACCGCCACCTTCCTGATTCATTCATCCTGTTACTGTTTCTTGCTTGAACTAAATACCAGCCTCTTAACCAATCCACAGATCTTCATTCTCTCTCTCATCCCATTTCACCATTAAGCAGTAGCCAAAGTGACCTCTTATATAGACAAATAGATCAGCCATTCTACTTAAGCCCTGCAAAGTTTCCCACTACATACAGAATAAAATCCAAGATTCTTAAAATGGCCAGTGAAACCTGGCATGGTCTTTAACCTCATGACTCTTAGAATTCATCGTCTAGTACACTTTCCTTCACTCAGCTGACGAATTTTTACTATGAAACCTTTTGCAAATACTGCCATCTCTGCCTGGAATACTCTTTCTTCTAACTCTTGTCTCTCTAGTTCCTTCGAATTCTTTGTGTCACCTCCAATCCCAGCACAATGGAACCTGCCCATAGACCCAGCTACTTGGGAGACTGAGCAGAAGGATCACTTATATCCAGGAACTGTTAGACTAGTCTGGGCAACATGGTGAGACCCTGGTCTAAAAAAAAAAAAAAAAAAAAATCTAAACACCACCTTCTCAGAGAAACCTTCAAGAGCCCTATAATCTAAAGTTTTCTCAGTATTTTTCCTATAATACTGATGCTGTTTAACTACGAATCTTCTTTTCACTTTTTAAACTTGTTTATTATCTATTTTCCCTACAAGTCTGTTCACAAAGGAGAGATTCATGTCTATTTTGTACATTACTCAGGAGCCAGTCTAGTCAGGCATATAGTAAGTTTCCAGACAATCCAGCCAATTTCTAGTTTCTGTATAATCTAAAAGTAACACTATAGTATATCTTTTAAAAGAACCTATGGTTTGGAATTCACATTTTTTCAACCTATTATGATATGATTATAGTTATCATTATAATTTTAAAATATCGATTCTTACAAGTTGTAAACAAGTATGCATTTAAAAATAAAAATTTCAAAATACTTCCTTTTGTGAATCTCCCACACCATCAAATTACATCATGGACTTAACTACTCATTTCTGCATGAAATACTTTGGTAATTTCTCAGAATAAGCTACTTTCATCTTTTTTGTATATAATATATCTTTTTGGTTTGTTTCTTATTTGATAATGTTCATGCTATAGTTTTCTATAGCATTTAATCTGGGTCCCAGTATCTTAAAGGTGGAGGGTGCTTAATTAGTTAAAAGAGATATCAGGAAGTGACTCTCTTGGGGGAAAGTAGTCACTTTCACAATGTAGTAGACCAAATACAACTTTTCACGTGAATTTTCAGTCATTTACTTCTATATGCTTTATAAAATGTTGAAGACATCATCATGAATGAAAGGATAAATAAGAAATGCTAGAATGATATTTGAATCTGAAATTCATTATTCTGTGATTAATTAGACTGTACTGACTTTAAAATAAACATATTGTTATAAAGGGAAACATGTTTCATTTTCACTTTTTCATTTCCTCTTAGCATGGCTACTTTGCTTTTACATACTTTTTTCCGTTGTATAGCTTCTTCCAGTTGTTTAAATTCTTCAGTAGCTCTTAAAATTTTTTGTTCTGCCTTTTCTATTTCATCATGTAGTTCTGACAGTCGAGTTTGTGCTGTGAATTTAAAAACCATATACTAACAAGTAAATTCTGAAATTTCTACCAGATTTTTTCTTTGCAATAATCTCTTCTCTCTCAATTAAATTCTATCATTGTTGATCATAGACATTTTAAAACTTACTTATGATAGCTATCATCTCTATTAAATATTTTAAGAAAAATTGTTTTGTGATATGCTATAGAATTAATCTTTTTGTCTGTAAAATTCTTAACATAAAAGGGACAATACTTGAGATTCCCAATGTTGTGCACCATTTTGAGAGAAAGAGGATTTTATTGGGAAATATATACTTTATATGCCACTAAGTCATAATTAGGATCAGTGTATTGAAACACAACAACCCAGTGTTAGAGGCAAATACTTTATGACAGGACTCAAAAACGAATCCAAATTTATTAAAAAATCCAATTCTGGAGGTGACTTCAAATCAATCACTTTTTACCCCAAATGTCAGATTTCTTTCTCCCTCTCTCTCTCCCTCCAATGAAACCATGAGTCCCCTGAAGTTAGTATGCACATGTATCTGATTTATTTTTCCTTTACCTTTTAGAGCTTTACATATAATAAATGCAGACAAGAAGAACTCAGCTTCTTATCTCCCCTTGCAAAGTCAGTCTTTACTAGTCATCCATATTTTCAGCTTACAGTCAAAGGAAGATGAACCGCTAATTTGATGGTTCAATGGGCCACAATTACTAGCGGGATATATAAATTCGGGTTGGCTTTCTCTTTCTTCAATATCTACACAGCTAAGTGGATAGCTATGTATGATACTGAAGGGGCTCCTACAGTGCCTCTTGGCTTGACTTCTTCCTCTATGTGACTTGCCAGAGGTTTAAGATCCCTCGAATTAGACTGGGGTATGGAGGGAAGTCATAGGCCAACCTTAGACCCAGGCCTAAGGAGAGTGAACTGTTTCAGCCTATCCAAAGCACAGCTTCAGGTTTTGGCTACATGTATAATCATCAATAAAAGTGATTCTTTACCTGCTTCAGTTATTATTAATTACGTCTTTTAATGCATACTTCTATGCTTATTGGCAGGATGGGATTTATGCATTCTTGGATCCCCTGGACATGTTCCCATTAAATTCTGGTCAAAAATACCACTCTCAACCATAAAAGGAATAATTTTTTAAAAATCTGTTCAATAAGTCACTAATTTTGTTTTAGACTTTTCATTTTAATGACAATATGATACATACCATCAGAATGTTTAATTAAAAGAGTTATAAAATAAAATTGGCCTACATATTCAATCTTTTTATATTTCTAAAGAATTTAAAATAACTTTGTTTAACCTGCATTTATTTTTCTTTCTTTATCTTCCAGTTGTGTGTCCAGTGGTGCATGGGTTCTCAAGTTCTCTTGTGCATCTCTATGTTGTTCTCCTTCATTTGGTCCCATCTTCTTGATCTGTACTGCCTGGGCATTACTGATAATGAAAGTTTCTGTGGCAAACATATTTCTCTTGTATCTGGATTTGCCAATGTAAGGGCTTTCATCTGGGACTTTATCAATTTCAGCATACTAAAAGCAAAATAATAGATTTATGGTTTAATAACAAATGACATTATTCATTTTATTAGTGGTAAACATGTCACACAATCACCAAAGTTTTGCTAATCCTAAATCTTAGAAGCTAAATATATTATTTTTTTATTCTTAATATACTAAAAAAGGAATTAGACCTAAAAATGGTCTCAAAAGGATTCTTCCTCCTACTACCAAACTGTGACAGTTTGGATTAGCTAATTAACGAACTGCCCACACTTGTGTGATTTGAAGCACTGCTTAATCTCTTAATCTCCCAATCAGAAATCTGGATGTTTCATTTTGGTTTCTTGACTGACTGACACAGTAAAATCTCAATGTAATCATTTTTAATAATTGGGCTTTCAAATTTAAACAACATGTGATATTATTAAAATCATTGGTTTTTAGAAGTTAGGTAATTCCCCTGTTTCCATGGCATTTATGGCATCTGTGCCAATAATGGTTCACTAATTCTGAACCTAGTAAGTACTGAACAAATCTTATAGGGAGATTTGTTCAGACTATCCCATGGCACTTTTTCCAAAAGTCTGGATTTAAGTGAGGTAACTGAGAGTTAAGGAAGCTGTTTTTGCTTAGGGAATTGGTTGTGGGCAAAATTCTCTTGGGGCTTTTACCTCTTTAGGATATTGCTCTAACTATAGGAGCCAAATAATTCACAGATACAACCAAAACAGTTTACTCTGCTGATTGCTCATAATAAGAGAGTGGAATGGTTAGTAAAAAAAATAGTCCCTTAAATTTCCCTATCATCTGTTCCCTTCCACCTCACTTCATGCTGGCTTTAATTCTGGATTACTAAAGAATTATAAATAGCTCACCTCTGATGGATAATAATTTAGTGGCTCAAATTTAGCATCAATTTTATAGAAAGCCAATTCCTGTTCGAGCTCATACTGCTTCTGACATGCTCGGGTTAGTTCCATGGTCTTCTGTTTTAGCTATCAACCCAATTCGATGAGACAAAACGTTTCAGTAAGTTAGTACCAAAGTGCAATGTTATGGCAATTTCTCATCATTTTAATAACTATATTGTAAAAACACTATAGCAAAAAGCACAACACTCAGAATTTTATCTTAATTATCTATTATAAAAAATGAAATACAAAATTATTGTTTCAGAAGTGATCACATAAAAGACCTTTGAAGTTTACATGCTATTTCGGGATACAAAGAAGATATTTAAATTTAAATTTGTTTTACCTAAATGTAAAATAGTTCTTTATCAATTATCTTTAAACTAGTCTACTAAGTATCTGTTTCATGATGTCTCAAGACTTAGTATTAATTTATTTAACTTACTCTTGGTTTTAATGATATCTTCAAATCATGGAGGAATAATATTTGACAGTAACTACAGAGCAGTGAGAAGGATGATATTAGAGATTACTTTCAACTGTACTGTTGTCGTAGTATTTGTGGCTAATGACTTCTTAAGTTTTAAATGTTCAGAACATCATTATTTGTAACAGAGGATAAGGAATTTAAAAAGCTCCATCAGATCCAAATATGTAATATTAAAATTTTAATAAAGTAATTATACTATAACTTTTTAGTTACTCAGAAAGTTTTGGAGCTGGGAGAAGGAGGATATATGAATCATTCAATATAATTATCTGAACATATAAATAAACTGAAACTCAGATTGGTGAATTGACTTGTCAAAAGATTAGTGGTGCAAGCTGAGTATTTTACTACTATCAATACAAGCCCTTTTTCTATTACATGTACTCTTTGAGTTCATTTCAAAGGTCCACTAAGTGATTATTATCTTTACTTTTGCCAGTATTTGATAAAGATCATGCAGAAATATTTCATAAATATGAAAATGCAAGCAAAAAAGAATAAAACATAAACAAACACAAGCATTTTACAAGGTCAGGAAATCAGTCGTGCACAATTTAACTTACAGTCACCTCCTGATAATCTGTTAAAATGGAAGTAACACTGATCCGATCCGAGTACTAATTCTGTGTGACACCCTCATTTGCTATCTCACTGGAATTAAAGGACTTGCCTTATTGCATAGTTTACAGCAGAAGAGACAATGTTCAATTCCAAGAATCTGGTTTCCAATCTAACATTCTGCCTATTGTCCCAATGTCCTGCTGCAGGGTGCCTAGCATATTAGCCATACTTATCTTTTCAGTGAATGCTCATAAGGCTTTGAGTCTCAATGAAGCAACTCAATCAACAACAATCCTGGGCTTCTCTCTCCATAGCTCATTGACTATAGGGCCAAACCAAAGGTAAATGTGAGTGGAATCATGGAGTGTGCATGTACTAGTATTTACTAAATAGCCTATGTGTTTCAAAGTCCCTTTGTGTCTCTTATAGCCTTAGGCTTAGTATATAGTTAAGTACTCAATAAATGTATGTTGAAGAAATGCATCAATGTCTGCAAACTAAAAGTCAAAGGAACTGGAAATAGGTGAGCTGTAGCACTCACTGGCTATTAAAATCAAGAGATGACTGTAGTTAACCTATTTACCAACAGGAAAAATAATACAAATTCTTTCCCCAACATTCAAATTTGTTCCCCTATGTACACAGTCATTCAAAACATAATACATACACAGGCACATTTCTCAATGAGGCAAGCCAGTTTCAAAACTTAAAACACAAAAACATATGAATACAAATTATCATGCAAATCATGAAAAACATAGTATGCAGTTCAGCCCTTTAAGGAAGAATACCTTTAAGAACTACCTTTAAGGAAGAATAAAGAACTTCCTTTAAGGAAGAATAAAGAATCGCAGAAAAGGGCCTGCAAGAAACCAAAACAAGGGCTAAAAGAAGAAAAAAGCAAACAGATACTGTCAACTGGAGGACTCTCAGATGTGATACCACAAGTGCTCTTTATTGACAATTTACCACAGGAAGGTATGGCTACTAGTACTTGCATTGTTCCTATATGGACATATCTTATCCTCACTCCAAATGTGAATAATAAATTTACCACCTTCCCTTACTTAGCTCGATTCATTTCAAATTATTTTCACATTCATAATCCCATTAAATCCTCACCAGTCTATAAAGCTGGCAGGACAAGAAAATCATCCTCATTTTAAAAATAAGTAAACAAAAGGATAGAAATGAAACAACCTGCACATGGACAGAATAAATTCAATTAACATTTGCTGGGGTTGGGATAGGGGACTACTACAGTTTAAGTGGCCACTGAAAGACTAACTTCAATGCTATTTTTCTTTTATAAAGAAAGTGCTCTAATGCATGAGCAATTATTTTATAAAACTGAAAAACAAAGCAGGGTGCAGTGGCACATGCCTGCACCCAGTTACTATGGAAGGTGAGGCAGGAGGATCACAAGTTTGAAGCCAGTCTAGACAACTTAGCAAGACCATTCCCCCACCCCACCTTGGGGCAAAAAGAGGCTGGTGATATAGTTCAGAGGCATAGCACCTAACATCTAACATGCAGGGGCTCTGGGTTTAATCCCTAATACTATTAAAAAAAGGAAAACATTATACAATTGTAGATAATATTACCATCAAATATTCTTTAAAGGATAACAGAAAATATTTTTCAAATGTACATTCTTAGACTAATGCTCAGATTGTTTTTAAACATATAATAGCCTTTGTAGTAAGAGAAGTCTAGGCAAAACAATATAAATGGTAATTTAAAGAATAAATACATAATAGCCAATAAATACATATGTAGTATTCAGCTTGCCAACAATTATGGAAATGAGAAATTAAAACAATAATGAGATTCCATTTTTTCTATTATATTTATAAATTCAAAATAACAATATCGAGCCGAAAATTGGACCCTTTCACTTACTGCTATGGAAGTATAAATTGGCCATAAGCTTTTTGAAGTGGGTATTCGCATTTATTAAAAATTTAAAAGAGAATTACACAGTAATTCCACTCAAAGTGATTTATGCTGAAGAAATACTAGTGTGTATGCATAAGGCACATACACACACACACACACACACACACACACACATTTTGTAGTACTTATCTCTAATACCAAAAAAACCATCAACACTAACTAAATTATAGAGGATCCACTTAATAGAACACAATTTAGAATATAGAAAGAATGAGAAAGTGCTCGCTTCGGCAGCACATATACTAAAATTGGAATGATACAGAGAAGATTAACATAGCCCCTGCACAAGGATGACACACAAATTTGTGAAGCATTCCATATTTTTATCCAAAAAACCAAATGCCGAATGTTTTCATTGATATAAGGAGGCTGATTCATAGTGGGATAGGGAATGGGAGCATGGGAGGAATAGACAAACTCTAGATAGGGCAGAGGGGTTGAAGGGGAAGGGAGGAGGCATGGGGTAATTAATGATGGTGGAATGTGATGATCATTACTATTCAAAGTACATGTATGAAGAATTGGTGTGAATATACTATGTATACAACCAGAGATATGAAAAAAGGTGCTCTCTCTCTATAGAAGAGTTGTAATGCATTCTGCATCATATATAAATAATTACATAAAAATTTTAAAAAAGGAAAAAAAATGAGAAAGATTTATATATGTGTGTGTGTATATATATATATATACACACATATGTACACATATGTACATATATACATATATTTTAAACTTGGAGAGCTGTTTACATGTACTGCTTTGTGAAAGATAAGATGCAGGATAATCATACATAATAGGATTCCTTTCTTTAAAAAAAATAACAAACATTCAAGGGTATAATTATTTAATTACATATATTGTGTATGTATAGAAAACAAAAAGGATCTATATCAACACTTGGGGAAAGGAGCAGGGGAAGAGTAGATTTTCATTTCTACTGTATACATTTGTGTTGTCTGAACTTGTTACAAAAATATACATGTTAAAATGTTTTAAATTGTTATTAATTATAAAAGTACTAATGACAGAAAAAAGCACAATCTAAGAAAAGTAGTTACAGAAAAAAGAGCAAAACTGCTGACAATTTACAAAACATTTATTCACAGCACAACCATATTAACAATAACATAAATAAGCAAAAGAGAAAACTATAACAAACCATACTTTCTGGACAAAGCAAAGCCTTAAGACATATTAACTAAGGTGTTTAATGGGTTGATTAACATGCATCAGGGAGTCAGCATATACAAATTATCAAGTTCCTTTCTTAGTAATAAAATGGATTCTATGTTCTAAAACAGAAAAATATCTGAGAAAAATTTATTAAATGTTCACAAATGTCACATGATACCAAATAAGTACTGGGTTTTATTTTTGTATGTCATATAATGGCAAAAAGAGTTCACTGTTTAAGTAACATTGATTACCATTCTCCACTGGTTTCATTACTCATCAATCCATTCTATTACAAACTGAAAAGCAACAGAGTCTGAATAATCTAAAATCACTAATAATCATCTATTAACATTATTAATATATGCCTTCAGGATACAGCCGAGATATATGAAAACTACCTTCAAATTAAGTAGCATATAAAGGAACCCACAAATGCTCTGAACATTGGAGGTACAGAGCTGGAGAAGCTGTCCTGGATTTCCATCATGTTCCCTTTTCTTTCTCAGGCAAAAGAGATTTTAAGTAGGAGTTAATTCATATTTCAAGAACAACTTCCTTCCACACAGAGGGGAGAATACTCTTTTGTCTTTGTTTTAAAAAATAAGTGATTAGGGTTGGGGTTATAGCTCAGTGGAAGAGTATTTGCCTAGCATGTGTGAAGCACTGGGGCAGATTCTCAACACCACATACAAATAAATAAAACAAAGGTCCATCAACAACTAAGAAATAGTTGTTGATGGACCTTTTTTTTAAAAAGTAAGGGATTAAGCAGAATTCTTCTTCTTAAAAAAAACAAGTAACTGAGTGAGAATGTGAGAATGCCAAACTTGAAAGGGAGATCCAAAAAGGATAACTATATCAAAGACTTTATTTTTATAGGATAAGTAAAATTCCCTAAGTTATACATAAGTAAAATGAGGAATTATTTAAAAGGAGGGGAGAGAAAAGGGTACCAATAGTTATTTTTCCCTAAATAGCCTAATAAGTTTATAAAATTAGATTCTTTGGGTTGAAAAGGCCCACCTTCCTATCAAATGATCTTTCTCCAAAACCCTGAGCATATGGCCAGTCTCTGCCTGTCAGTGATAGCAAACATTCCAGTTATTCCATTGCAGGCCAACTTTTAGGAATTTCTTTATCATTAAATGAAAACATATTTTCCTATCAATTGGTTTATGATGAGGTCTTAGTCTATAATTCCTCTTCCATGAAACAGTTCTTTGAATATCGAGAGAAATTATAGCTCGCCGAGTCTCCTCTTCTCTAGCCTGGACAACTCTGTCCCTCTGATCATTCTTCATGTGACATGGTCCCAAGACCTTTGAAGTATCTTGGTTACTTTCTCAAATTATGCCATTTAGATTGTCTAAATCTTTCAGTTTTAGTATCCTTTTTCTGTTTCAACCATAAAGCCCAACTATATAAAATGTAGCCATTACAGATATGCATAAACTGAAAGTGTTCTGTAATTCCACTTTTTGGAAATACCTACTTTCAAGAGTTTGGTGCATATTTTGCCATTTCTCCCCTAAGAAACTGTCATACACTTTGAGATATAAGATCATATTTGACTTTGATATTGTTTCGCAACTTGCTTTTTTATGCATAATAAAAAGTGTCAGGTATCTTCCATTTTAGGACATAAAACCGTACTTCATTTTATTCAAAACAATATATTATTTTATCACTTCAGGGTTCACTGAGGGACATTTTGGCTATTTACAATTTTTGATCATATGAATAATATTGCAGTGAATATCCTTGTATATGTATATGTGTGTTATATGTTATATATACACACATACATACATATACATTCAGGTATATATATAATCTCTGTACATTCTTGCCACTATTTCTATAGAATATATTATTGGAAATTCAATCTCTGAGACAGAGGGTCTATTTAAAATTTGGATATTTTTCCCAAATTGTCTTCTAAAAGTTTTTGCCAATGTATACTCTCTCCAACAATGCTCTTGCTTAAAAAAAAAAATATGAACATCAGGGATGATCTTACTGACTTCTTACAGTGAGGAACATCACCTTCCCCCTTTGGGCAGCCCCAAAGAACACTAATCTTTCAGAAAGCCATATCACATGGCACATGCTCAGTAAAGCCTTTTGCACATATTCTATTAAAATACATCTACCCCTTTCTACGGTCAAGAAGTTGTATTTTTAGACACAAGGACAAAGAATTTTCTACCTGAAGAGAATATAATCAATGTGATGTAAAATCAGACTTACCAATTCATTTTTCATGTTTAGGTCAATTTCTAGCTCCTCACAGCTCTGTTTCTGTAATATTGCTTCTTCTTTTAATGATTTGTTTAATTTATCTTGATTTTTAATTTCCTCAAGGAATCTTATTTGTTTGCTCTTAAGCTCTTCAGTTTCCATCATCTTCTTTTCTAGGTCTCTTTCCAGTCTTTCTACCTCTTCTGTCAATAAAAATGGATAGTGTATTTATCATTATGTTTCTTATTTGAAAAAAGGCAAGGCTATTTCTCAAAAGAATAACAAAAGAAGTTAAATATGGTATAATTACAATTTTACTTTTAAAATTATAAACCATGCTTTGAGTGAAAACCATCTTACACTTGAAATGGATATATATTATGAGGCAAGAAGTCATTATTATTTTGATGACATTTTTAAAACATAAGAATTGACTTCCAAGTATTTTAGTTTGTTGATAAATGAAGAACTTTTCCAGTCCCTTTTAAAAAATGCAGTATTTTATTTGATATGAATAATTACATTTTTGAGAATATTGTAAACATGTATGCAAAATATTACATTGTATTGAAATCCTTCAACTATTTCCTATCACTCTTAGGATAAGATTCATAAATCTTCCGTAAAGATGATTTGGCCCCACTCTCCCTCTCTTCAAGCAGAGATATGCTTGAAGCCTCATCTTCAAGCATATCTCTGCAGCTTTCCTGAAATGACTCTTCACTACACTGACAATGCCTCTTCACTGCTGCAGGCTTATTCTCATCCTCTGCCTGAACCTGTCTTCCTCCATTTCCTATAGGTCTCTTCTGCATCCTCTAGGGGTTGAGCTTTACAAACCATTCTGAGAAGACTGCCCTGACTCTCTCCTCTCTCTGGGTTGGATGCTTCTTAGGGAAGCTCTCATGCACCCTGAACTTATGCTCCAGCCCTTGTCACCCAGGGAGTTGTAATATGTGATCTACTATATTGTCTGCCTATCTTCCCCACTAAAGTTTCAGGAGAACAGCAACTCCATCCACCTGGTCTCTACTGGGTCCTAAGAGCTCACCACATTAAAGGCTCCTAATTACAGTCTGAAGTCATGAATGAGCCATAAGTGGTTGAAACATTTCCTCCAACAGTATATTTATATGATTATTCTGCATTATTTAAATTTTTAATAATTCCAAAATAAATTTCAGGGGAAAAAAGTAGTATTGGGGGAGGGGTCCTAAACAAATAAGAAATTTACCATGTTTCTGAAGTATTGGATTAAACCATATAAAACTGCTGCTTTTGTAGGTTGAAAGTGGACTAACATCCATTCCAAATGGTTGAACATACCAGCTTATTACCCAGTACTCTACAATGGTGATTTCTTTTTCCTCAAACTTCCCATACTTCTTTGAGACTCTTTCTCAGCTGATGACCTCACATTTCATTGAGAAAACAGACCCCACCCATGGGAACTCCCTTATTTTCCCACCACCAAAGCAACAAAACCCCATGACCTGCACATCTTCTCTCCTTTCTGATGGAGAAAGTGTTCCTTCTGTCAAGGGATGGCCTCTCTTCTTTCTCCAATCCTACTGAGGCATGATTTGTCTCTGCAGTCCGCTCTTAAGATATACTGCTTATTTCTTTGACTACTGATTTTGAGGTTAACTACATTTTTTTTCCTCCCCATTTCCTGGTCTGAAAGCTACTGGTTAATTTTTAGTTTAGCTTTCTTTTTTTTTTTTTTAACTTTTAAACAGTAAAAAACGAAAAGAAACACCTTCATTCATTTAAGTGTTAGAAGAGAGAAATTATGGGAGGAAATTTCAAATCTTCAGGCAAATATCTCCCTTCCATTCTTCAATACATTATTATCCAGCCTTTCCCCCATCCCTGTCACAATCAGGCACTTCTCTGTGCTCATCTTACTTTGTGCCTCAGCAACATTCAACAAAGCTTACCACATCCTCTCTTGAAGATTTCTTCTCTGGTCCTCTGTAACCCACTATTTCCAGGTTTTCTACTACCCTGTTGGCCTCACTTTTTCAGTTTCCTTAGTTGGCTGCCTTTCTTTCTTTTCTCACCCCTGACTGCATGAGAAAACTGATTCCTATGGAATTAAGTACTATTTTTATGCTGATGACAACCAAATTTATTCCAGCTGAATCTCCTTTATCTTGGGACTGATTTATTTTTCAGATTTGGAATATTTGTAGTTACATAAAGAGATATATTGGCACTGAATCCAAGTCTAAACACAAAATTCATTTCTTTTTTAGATACAGTTATACAAACACATATGACCTGAAAGTAATTTTTATACAAAATTTTAATGTACCTGTGTTTGGACTGTGAACAATATCCACTTGTAGCATTAGAAAAGTACTCAAAGTTTCAGATTTAGGAGCATTTTGGATTTTATATATCCAGATTAGTGATGCTCAATCTGTATCTCTGATACAGACCTCTTTGAACTCCAGACACATATTTTCTATTTTTTATTTGCCACCTCACACATAATTCAAACTCATCATGACCTAAAGATAACTCTGAATTCTCCTCATTTTCTACATGATATCACCACCTAATTAAGCCAATTAAGCCAGAAGCCTGAGAATTACCTACTCCATTAGAGAGCGCTGCTGATTCTACCATTAAAAGTGATTCATCTATTTTTCATTTCCACATCTATTGCCTAAGCACAGGCCACCAACGCTTCTAGCCTGCATGACTGTCATAGCTCTTCCTAACATGCACCTCCATCTCCTCTTTGCCCCACTCCAAGTCATTCTCCAACCTGCATCCAAAATGATCTCCTTAATATAGAGCCTGTTCCTGGCCCATCCCTGCTTAAAACTTGACCATGGTTTTTTACTGCAGCTAGAATAAAATCCAAACCACAAGGCTCTGTTCTATCTTGAACCTCCCCCTTCTCTCCAAACTTTTTCTTGCACCCCTCCAGTCATACTGATCTTTCAGTTGCTTGACTCCATTAGGGTCTTTATAACCCCAGAGAACCAGCTTCTCCCTCTCCCTGAGTGCCATTCCTCACATAGCTGGCCTCTCCTCCCCATGCCTTTAGCTTCCATGTCACTGACTCAAGAGCCACTCCTTTACACCACTCTGTACCACAACAGGGCTCCCCTCTTGTTGCTTTACCTGGGTTTAACTGCTTTTTGTCTGTTCCACAAAACCATAAGCTGCATGAAGGCCAGCACCAAGTGTCTTGCTCACCATTGTATCCTTAGTGTCAAGTGCAGTGCCTGGTGCACTGAATATGCTCAATTAAATTAGTTGATTTATGGTGGCATCTCTGCAAATGCAATGTCATCAGAAAGTTTGTAATTCATTTGTTTTCTAGATAACTTCTGAAACAAATTCTTTCCTCATTCAAATTTGGTTCTTTTTTTTTTTTTTTTTAACGGTCATCTTACCTAAACTGAATCTCTCAAAAGCCTCCTCCCTGTCCTGAGTAGTTACTGGCTGACCTTCCAAACTTTCCAGCGAACGTAGGTGGAAAATGGTAAACTGGAGGTAGTGAGGAAGGGTCACGACTGGATTTTCAACTAATATCAGAGAAGTCAAATCTTGAAGTGGTTTCAACTTGCTGACATCCTGAAGCTGAAATGACATAACAGTAGCATTGGTATATTTTACTTTAAAAATCATAAACTACCTAAAGGAAATAATAAATCTTGGAAATTGTTCTTAACATAGCAAAAAAACCTATTCATGAAACCAAGGGCTCAAAAGCAGTTTGAGGAAAGGAACAGAAAGGCAGCATGTGAGTAGTGTATTGGGACAGTACTGGGCATTTTCTTTATATCATTCTATTTGTAACTCTTCACAACCTATAATGGACGCATCATCTTAACTTTACAGATAAAGAAACAGATTGAAAGAAGTCAGGTGACTTGCCCAAAGCTCAGAGTCTAAGTGAATAAAACAGGATTTGAATTCAAGTCTTTATCATTCTTCATTATATTAATTGAACAGATCAAAAATACAAATGGTAGTGAAAAAATTTAGTAAAACTGCACAAAACTGAGTTATAATTGAATCTAAAAGACACAAGGATATGTACCAATATCCACATTCTGAATTTAAGGAAATACTGCCAGGAAAAAAAAAAAAAACTCTTCTAGGCATTCATTCAATCATCTGGATTCTAGCTCAAGCTGTAACTTTGGACAGGGACTTAACATTTCTGAGGCTTTACATGTAAAATAGGAATAAGAGCTCAAATGAAATGATAAATTCTAAGAGAATTAGTTGCTATGGAATCTATACAAAATGTGAACTTACTGTATTTAATTACTATAGAGTATTCTAGGTTATATCTGAATTTGATATATCTGGTGTTTGATTAATAGAAAATAAAGAAATCCCATTTGTAAAATTTAAGTATTAATATTTTTTCTCAGTAAATTAAAGAAATTGAAAAAGATTCTTACTAGTTTGAATAACTTACTGATGATATCTTGTTGCCTTTCAGATTGAGGACTCGCAAAGATTTCAACTTCTTTCCTAGCCATACTGGAATGTGCTCAATCTCATTTCCTGCAAGGTTTAGCTTCTGAAGATTACACATATTCTCTATGCCTTCAATTTTGCTGAAACCAAAGGACAAAGTCAAGCAAATACAATGATGAAGTCCTTCTACTGTAATTTTCATGTCTTTTTAGATGCTGGGAATTAAATCTGAGCTACACACCCAACAAAAGCTTGAAAATCTTATATCTATATGCTTTACCCTCAGACTTGGTAAATATGATGACTAAAAAATTGAAACAAGACAACAAACAGTTGCTGAACTTCCAATAAGACAAAAAATATCCTTGTCTCTATGTGATGTTCTTTTCATAATTATGATTTATCAACCTTTCTTATTAATGAGAACAAAGTAGCTATAAAAAAATTTACCAGAGCAGTGAAACTGCAAACTCATTACTGTGCCTAGGAACTGTACTCATCTTACTATCAGAACTCAAGACCTGTAATGGAAGACAGAGGAGTGTATCTATGCCAGTCCCACTGGCTACTGTGAGAACTAGCAGCCAGCCAGGAGAGAGCTGGAAAACTCCACAGCACACGCTGTGCTACCTGCTGTAGTCCTGCCCAAGAGATAACTATAGTATATTAGGCCACTGCCAAAAGGTTAACTGTACAGAAGGAGATCAGAGCCCCTACAGTGACACTTTGCTTATGAATATAAGCATTTTTATAGAATACTTAAATGAATAAAATATTTATCACTCATACTGATAAACTTTCATTGATGAAAAATTTTTCCAAGTTACTCATAATATGTTATTTAATAACCCAGTCAATTTTCTATACCAGGAAAATACTTCTAAGCTTGTCTATTTTCATTTCCATTTTGTCAAAATTATTATCATCAGTATCGGTTATTTTTTACACAAATTTTATACTAAGACTTTAATTAGTATTTTTTAATTTCATTTTTGTCTTGTAGGAACTTCAGCAGCTGTTAGTTGTTTTGATTTGTTGGCCATCATATTTAACAAGTCTAAAGTGGGAGGAAAGCTTACTGATATAAGGTTTTCAAGCTTTAGTTGGGGGTGTAACTCAGGTATGGAGTCCGTATTAGCAGGTGTGAGGCACCAGGTTTAATCCCTAACACCACAACGCCCCCCCCCAAAAAAAAAAGATTTTCATTATTTGATTCTTGCATCATTTTGTCTATAGCAAATTTTCAAAATGTAGTTTTACCCATTATCAGTTTGATTATGTTTATTTCTCACAAAATTATTATGCATTGGAAACAAGATTGAAAGTACATTTCTTGTAACAACAAGTGAAGAAAAATACCTAAGATGAAAAGGGTTAGAATATCTTTGGGCTCAAAATGGCAGGGCTAGAACATTCTGCTTCATATCAATATTCTTCATGTAATAAAACAGTGAACCATAGATAGCACCTGCCAAGAGCAGAATTAAGACAAAATTTGGTATTCAAAAAATGTATCTCCTTCCAAAATACTAGATATTATTCTGTACTTAAGTAGTACCAAAACTTAAAGTTATCATATTATGAAGGTCTAGCCTACAAGTGAATAAAGACTTATTAAAATATTTGCTGTTTCAAAGGATTCTTCCAGCAAATGGGTGACATTAGTTTACCTCTCAAAGAAACAAAGAACAACAACAACAAAAGAAAACCCTACAATGCTACTTAAAGAAATATTCACTCACCTGATTTTGTTATATGATAAGTTGAGTTCACGTAATTTTAAGAGCTTGTCTACCTTCTCAATCTTCTCTATTAAATTATAGCTGAGATTCAGTACTTCAAGTTTAACACATTTTTCCAAATTCTCAATATACTAAATGGAAATAAATAAGTAGATTCTTTACATGACATATGGAATGACATAAAGCAAAATATTTAAGTATGTGCATCAGGGGCTGTTTAGGCCAGTCATCAGAAAATTTAAAACCCTATTCTACAATCCCTGAAGTAGCAACTCTCCTCAAGTTTCCAAACTCTCCTTGCCCCTCTGCAAATGATAGCACTATCCACAAAAGAAGCTCAAACTATCCAACAAGAATACTCCATTATCATTCTCTCTGCCTCAATTTTTCTATGCCTTTCTGTTTTTCCTCCTTTTTTTTCTTTAGGTACTATGCTGGTGTATAACCTCTCCCTCTCTTTCTCCCCCAGTGCCCATGCATGTTCAACCTTCTTCTCTCTCCCTGTGTCCCCTCAAGTTTAAAGGCAGTCATTTTACAATAGACATGCACTATGTGCTTGCTACCTACAAAGTGTGGCACCAGGTGATGGGCTATAGCAGTGAACTGGACAAACCCTCCCTGCTGCACACAGCTTACTTTCAATAAGCTCACAATTCTTCTATATAGAACAAATCGCCCTGCACTAACCTTGTTCTCCTAGGAAGCCATCATCTTATTCCCCTTTTATAATGCCACCAGCATTTCTTACAAGAATCGTCTACATTTGCTCACTTTGCCTTCCACTCACTCCTATTATATTAGTAAGGCAATAAATCCTCTACTACATCAATGTATTCAAATGGTTCTCCCCAAGACTGCCATTCAATATTTCACAGATTGAACGTGGATTATGTGCCAGAAGCTGTCTAGGGACAGGAAATATGAATTAGTATTTATCTACAGAGATACACAATAAACAGAGGCAAATAAGATTTTCAGACAGCAACAATACTAATAAGAAAGTAAAAACAACATCTGTGCTAGAATGCAAGGCACCAAGAGGGCAGATCTTGTCTGTTGTGTACAGTGCCATGGTACCTCTGCCTGGCATATAGTGAGTGCTAAATAAACATCTGTTGAGTAAATAAAAAGGGTGACTTAACTGTGATTGTGTGGCAAGAAAAAGATTTTACAGAAGAAGTATATCAAGATGAGACCTTAATAAAAAGAAGCCAGGAATGTGAACTTCTGGGGTCAGAGAAAACTAGATGAGCAGAAGAAAATGCAAAGGTTCTAAAAAAATGAACTTGGTGGGTTTCTGAAACAGAAGAATTGCCTTCTTGATTGCCAAATCCATTGACTTCTAAGGTTTCCTCTTATTTGACAATTCTATAATCTTTTTATCATAACTTTATGCATGAAGTTCCCCCTCTATAACCTCCACCCATCATGGTCTTGAGTCTTCTGTAATAGCTCTCTCAAGCTTTTTCACTGGGTAAGCCTCAATCACACATGCTCTATGATTCTCCATATCTCCTCTTAATCCTAGGCATTCTTCACACTAAGCCCCAAATTCAGAAATTCGAATTTAGAAAACTAAGCTAATTCACCTCTGCGTCTACCTCCACAGTCTAACATATGTGTGGTATATAATAATTAAACAGAATTTATTTATTTCATATTTCATTTTTGCAAGTTTTGAACTCCAGCATGTTTCCTTTTTTACTACTTAACTATTCAAGGGAAGACCTGAATATATTCTAGAAAAAAATTCAAATGAAATACGAAAAGCCATCTTCATCAAGGCCCCATATCCTCTTTCCTATCCCCAAAACCCCAAAACTCCTAATACTCAAACTATTTTTATGTGTACCCAGATATTTCTATTTGTTTCCATCCATTTATACTCACAGAGAAAACTAGAATTTAAAAAAATATTTGAGACCCTGAAATGCTTTAAAATTGCTTTTTCACTGAAACAACTGTGGACATATTTCTATGTTAATACATAGAGGTATAAATCACTTTTCAAAAAAAAGTCATAGTAGTCAGATACAGTGGCACATGCCTGTAATCCCAGCAACTGGGTGGCAAAGGCAGGAGAATCGCAGGTTCAGAGCCAGCCTCAGCAACTTCACGAAGCCCTAAGCAACTGAGTGATGAGACTCTGTCTCCAAATAAAATATTTTCAAAAAATATTTTTTAGTTGTAGATGAACATAATATCTTTATTTTTATGAGGTGCTAAGGATCAAGCCCAGTGCCTCACACGTGTGAGGCAGGTGATCTACCACTGAGCTACAGGCCCAGCCCCTCCAAATACAATATTTAAAAAGGCTGGTGATGTGGCTCAGTGGTAGAACATCCCTAGGTTCAATCCCTGGTACAGGCATAGTAGTTCATAATATATTATGCCATATTTTATTTAGATGATACCTTATTGACATTTAGTTATTTCCAATTTTTATTTAAATAGTGTTTAATAAACATTCCTATATTGATATTTTTGCATATATGTGTACACAATACTAGTACAATAGACATCAAGAAGTAGAATTGCTGGTTTGAGAGTATAAGCACAATTACTAGATCAAAAAATAAGGGGCTTGAGATTATGACTCAGTGGTAGAGTGCTAATCTCGCATATGTGAGACACTAGGTTTAATCTTCAGAACCACATAAAAATCAATATTTTTGATTCATTTATAACTAAAAATAAATACATAAAAAAATAAGCATATTAGAAATTTTGATATTACCAACCACCTTCCTAAACTACAGTACTTATCTATCGAATAATGAAATAGTTTTTAAAGTCTTGTCCAATAGATATGCATGATACCAAAATATTGTAAAACTTGTTTTATTTCATATTTCTTTGACCTTAACAACTGAATACATTTTCAAGTTAATATCAGTCATTTACAGTACCTTTTGAACTGCCTATTCACATTGTTTGCATGTGTCAATGAGTTACCTCTCTCAATGGAATTGTAGGAGACCTACATATTATGTAGATATTGTTAAAGATTTTGCAAACACTAATTGTCAGATTTGTTTTCCTTTTAACTTTTGAGAATATATCTCTCATTAAACACAACTCTTCAACTTTTATGTCAAATAAATCTATCAATAGTTTTCTTTGTGGTACTAGGGTTACTGTTTTCTCACTCTTAAGATTTAAATTATTCTTTCATATTCTTTATATATATATATATATATATATAGTGTGTGTGTGTGTGTGTGTGTAATTGTTTTGTTTGTACGGGGATTAAACGCAGAGAACTTTACCAATGAGCTACATGCCCAGCATTTTTTATTCTGAAATGGGGGTCTCACTAAGTGCTGAGGGTCTCTCTGAGGTTACTGAGGCTTGCCTCAAACTTGGAATCCTTCTACCTCAGCCTCCCAAGTCACTGGCATTATAGTTGTGTACTACCACGCTTAGCTCTTTCCTAATAATTTTACAGCAGTTTGTTCATAAGTTTTTTGCACTGCTTTGTTTTTATTTAGCTCTTCAACCTTCTGGAATTATTTTCTGTGAATAATGAGGTAGAACATCAGTTTTATTTATTCTAATTAAAGAAGTCAGGCTATTACAGTGTGTTTACATTGTATACCTTATTAATATAGCAGTAAACACACACAAAGCAAAGATAGTAAACTTTTTTTTCAATGTCAATGTTACATTTATTATTTAGGATAGCAAACTTTTAAAAAATAATCATATTCTTTTTATACTTTATTGTGCATTATAGTTAGGCATACTAGTGTGGTTCATTATGATATAATCATACTGGAATATAATTTTTTCCACTTCAGTTCCCAGTGCTTACTCCTTCCCCCTGTTCTTCTTGCCCAGTTCTCCTTCCTCTACTCTACTGGTCTTCCTTGTGCTTATATATTTTTAAAATTGGTGCTTTATAGATAGACATAAAGCTGAAATTCACAGTGGTATATTCACATATGTACATAGCATAATTTGGTCAATTTCATTCTACTGTTCCTCCCTTTTCCCATCCCTCTTCCTCACCCTTCTATCCTCTACTCCATTGATCTCTCCTTTATTTGCAGGGGCTCAGCCCCTCCCCTACTTTCCTCATACTTTTCTCTAGCTCCCATATATGAGAGAAAACATTCAATCCTTGTTTCTGAGTCTGGCTTATTTTGCTTAGCAAAATGTTCTCCAGTCCCATTCATTTACCAGCAAATTGTGTAACTTCATTCTTATGGCTAAATAAAACTCCACTGTGTGTAGATACCACATTTTCTTTATCCATTCATCTGTTGACAGGCAACTAGTCTGGTTCCATAACTTACCTATTGTGAGTTACATTGCTATAAACACAACGTGCCTGTATCACTATAGTTTGCTGATTTTAGTTGTTGGAAAAATATTAAGTGGCTATACTAATTTGCAGTCCCAGCAACAATGTACCTTAACCCCAACATCCTTGCCAGCATTTATTATTATTTGTATTCTTCATGATTTCCAATCTAACTGAAATGAGAAGAAATCTCAATGTAGTTTTGATTTGCATTTCCCTGATTGCTAGAGACACTGAACATTTTTCATATATTCGTTGGCCATTTGTTTCTTCTTTTGAGAAGTGTCTGTTTTGTTCATTTACTGATTGGCTTTTTTTTTTTTTGGTATTAAGTTTGTTGAGTTCTTTATATATTCTAGACATTAATTCCCTGACGAAGGAGTAGCTGGCAAAGATTTTCTCCCATTCTGTAGGTTCTCTCTTCATGCTCTTATTTCCTTTACTGTGCAGAAGCGTTTTGATTCAGTCCACTTATTTATTCTTGTTTTTACTTCAAGATTTAGGGGTCTCATTAAGAAAGAGATAGTGCCTATATCAATATGTTGGAATGCTGACTCTATGTGTTCTCTCAGCAGTTGCAAAGATTCTGGTCTAATTCCTAGATGTTTGATGCACTTTGAGTGGATTTTTGTGCAGGGTAAAAGATAAAGATCTATTTTCATTTTTCTACATATGGATATCCAGTTTTCCCAGAACCATTTGTTAAAAAAAAGGTTGTCTTTTCTCCAAGGTATGTTTTGGCATGTTTGTTAAGTATCAGATGACTGTATCTATGTGTATTTGTCTCTAATGTCTTCTATTCTGTGTCTTATATTCCACTGGTCTTTCTGTTTCTCTTGATACCATTAACATACTGTTTTTGTTACTATAGCTTTGTAGTATAATCTGAGATCAGGTATTGTGATGCCTCAAATATTGCTCATCTTGCTCAGGATTACTTTGGCTATTTTTTATCTTTTATTCCTGCAATGAATTTTAGGACTTTTTTTCTATTTCTGTAAAGAATGCCATTGGTTTTTAAATGGGGATTGCACTGAATCTGTACAACACTTTTGGTAATATGGTTATTTTGACAATAATAATCCTGCCTATCCAAGAACATGGGTCGTCCATCATCTTTGCTCAGTGTTCTATAAGTGTTCATTATAGAGGTTTTTCAACTCCAGGCCCCACAGCTGCAGATAGCTACCAAGTGCTCAGATAGCACCTCTCCATAGAAGGATTCACAATGATGGGCAGGAGAAGCTCAAATACAGATGGGCAAATTGAGGCTCCATTCCAGTCACAGGGACAGAGTCCCAGTGATACACATCAGTCAGGGAAGAAGCTTCTGCATCATAAGCCACCCACAGAGAACTAGCAATCATAGGCTCTACACTTGCGCCTCTCTGACACTTTAAAGAAGGCCCTGTGTAGGGGCGCAGGTTTACAATATTTCACAACAGTCAGCGTGATTATATCCTATGCCCCTTCATCCAACAGAAATAGCCAGCAGACACAGCACAGCACCCTCCATGCATGCAGGTTCAGGTCCCTGAGCTGACAAAAAGAACAGGCTGGCAGGAAATCCAGAGCAATCAGGGAAGAATCCTCTTGTGCCCCAGCATCTTTAGGAGGATCCACAGCTGTAAGTCCCAGAGTTGCCTGTTAATTGTCATTCAGACACTCAGACCAACAGAAGGCAATTTCTGAGGATAAGCCAAAGCAGCCAATGGAAAATCTTACACACAAAATACAGCAGTATACCCCACAAAGGGACTTACAGAAGAGCTCCCCAGACACCAGACACCAGACACCAATCTGTGGGTCCAGATACAAGCCCAATGATCTGAGACCAATGTACTCCAGAAAGGGCAGCAGCCCCTTCAGCCCAACAGTAGCACATCAAACAGGCTAAAATATATCTAACTTAAATAATCATATTTCACACATTCCAAATTTTCACAGTATAGCTTCCACTGGATTTGAAAGTGCTGGATACATAGAGCTTTTCTTCTGGAAGGCACAAAAAGACTATACCACCTAACAGGGAATAACTGATTTGCTAAGTCACAGAATATCAGAGACCATTTCCTCTGACCCAACAGAAAGCTAGTGGGTACCTAGACATTGAAAAAAGCTTTCAAGAATTGTATTAGAGGGGAGCTGGTGTGATCAACACCTCCATACCCAGAGTAGTGGGCAGCAGCCAATGGAAAATCTTACACACAAAATACAGCAGTATACCACACAAAGGGAGAGCATTACTACATTTTTCTACCCAGATTAAGGGAACTGTATAGAATATTTTCAACAAGTTTTTTGTTTCCAAAGGTCTATTCCAAAGTATGTGGCTCTGCTCTGAAGAGACTTAAGTTAATAGGGTTTAGCATTTTCTCTCAAGGTGGTACTGATACTGGGAACAGCAGAGGATACACATTGAGTGCGAGTATTAATACTTGGTTATTCACCTAGCCTAGGGCACTTAAGAGAAAGAAGTTTATTAAATAGTCCCTTGCATAAAAGTAGAAGTGATAATCATCCCAACCAATTGGATGGAGGGATTCTGACCCTGGAAATATTCAGGGAAGCATTCCTCCGGTGAGCAAACTCCTGGGGGTGAGGGGACAGTTTCTTACTTGTTTCTCCTAGAAGCTAGTAAGATAACTAACTAATATAGGTGTAGTATCTAGTTGCTATGTAATATCCTTCATGAAGAGGATCTGTCTTATCAGTGTGGACCTTGATCTCAGACACTCAGCTCCTGGGAATAAAGAAACACCAAACAATAATGTAGTTATGGCACTAATGACCTAAAGTAACCTATTGAAATAAATAAAGTATGGCAGTTTGGCCTGTCTGCCATTCTGCCATCTTTCCTGCCTCTGCATCTTGTCTCTGTGTCTCTTTTTATTTTCTTTACAATCGGCAGACATAAAAACAATATGAGAAAACAAAGGAACAAACCACCTCAAACAGTCCACAACAATTCTGACACCACATTGAAGAAATGTCAGAGAAAGAATTTATAAAGTTCATAGTTAAAATGTTCAAAGAGATAAAAGAAGTTTCAAGGAATCAATTTAAAAAATACAGAAAGTGAAAGATCAGTTCAATAAAGATGAAGATTCTGAAAAAGAATCAAACAAATCTTAGAAATGAAAGACTTAATAAATCAAATTAAAAATTCATTTGAAAGTATTACCAATAGATTAGACCTCAGAGAAGATATATTCTCAGGCCTTCAAGACAAACTTTCAAGTCAAATCTTAGAAATAAAGTCAGTAATAAAGAAAAGATGTTAAGAGACAATAACCAAAATATTCAAGAAATCTGAGATAACATAAAGACACCAAATCTAAGAATCATTGGCATAGATTATACCAAAATATAAAGCTAAAGGAATGCACAATCTTTTCAATGAAAATATATCAGAAAATTTTCCAAATCTTAGGAACACGATGGAAATCCAAACACAAGAAGCATTTAGAATTCCAGATAACAGGATCAGAAAAAGTCTTCTCCAAGAGAGATTATAATAAAAATGCCAAATATGCACAATAAAGATGGAATTTTAAAAGCTACAAGAGAAAAATAGCAAGTCACATTTAGAGGTAAGCCAATTAGAATTTCAACTCATTTGTCATTCCAGATAAGAGGGCTTGGAATGTTTACCTGAAATATTAGAATGGGGGCCTACCAAGATTATGATACTAAACAAACTTTCCTTCAGAATTAAAGATGAAATTAGAACTTTCCACAATATGCAATAATTAAAAGAATTCATAATCCCTAAAGCTGTACTACAAAACATACTCAATGAAATACTATATGTAATACTGAGTAACAGATGCTCATGAATTTGGAGCTATTATACTTCTGATGTAGAACTATCACCAGAAACAATAAAAGGTCGGCTACAAATCAGGTAACATGAGGATTGGATTCAAATCTTTTTATTTTATTGGCAGTTTTAAAACACCAATTAAAATCAATGTCTATTCACAGCAATTGTTGGTAACCTACCCTAAACTTCTTGCCGCCATCTTTAGAAAGTGAAAGGTTGAGAGACTTTACCAAAGCCAAATTGTCTTCTTTAGAGAGTTTTTTAATGAGGGCCTCTGTGATATATCGAATTCCTACTCTTGAATCAGCTCCTAAAATTACAAAAAAGATCATTTTCAGTAGAGGGAGACACACATATTCCAAAAATAATAATAATTTTGACACTATGTAAGAAAAAAAATTTAAGCTAGGCAAATGTAAAAAAAAAAAAAACCTTTATAGTATTTTAACTTACAGCATTTTTAATAATAATGATGATAGCAATTACACTCTAGAAATATTAGATGTATGCCAAGCTTTGGGCTAAAGGCTTACATTTTACAAATTTAATTTGTACAACAAACATGTGATATTCAAATTTATAGAAACTTTATTTGCTCAAAATCTCATAACTCATAAGATGCAAATATAGAACTTGAACAAAGGCAGATGAATCTAATCACAATATTATCTATATGCAGCAGCAAGTTTGTTTCAAAGTAATATTTTCAAGTCAGTTTTTAAAAATAAACTGCTATTTAGTTGTTTTTTATTTTTATTTTTAAAAAATATTTATTTAGTTGTAGTTGAACACAATACCTTTAATTTATTTATTTACTTTTACATGGTGCTGAGGATTGAACCCAGAGCCTCGCACACACTAGGCGAGTGCTCTACCGCTAAGCCACAACTCCAGCCCCTTTAGTTGTTTTTTAAAATGCTAAAGTTCAGAAACTGAAATCCTCAAAAATCCTATTTTCTTCCTTTTTGATAGTAAGAAACTCTAAATTTGTTGCCCTTTTAAATGCAGAGTATAAAACCATATGAGATATAATTCTAACCTAATGAATAATAGCATATCTTGTTTTATGGTCTTCCTCAATAATGTAATCAAAAACTGTTAAAATCATATTTTATGAAAGTAGCTATAAAAAGAAAATTGTTTCTTGGCTCTTATTTTATGAATCAGAAAAAAAAAATCTTGATTAAGATCTGGGCTATGGGCCAAGGGTTCCCTATGATGATTTATATGTTAATATCAAATTAATTTTAGTTCAAAAAATTGAATTTTTCTTTGATTTGTTCTAGGAATAAAGGTGACCAATATCCTAGACTATCAAATAGAAATAAGTGTAACTAACTGGTAGCAAAGATGTAGTACAATATAAACTCAATGCTGATAGTATTTATTAATTAAAAAAACTGATCAGATATTCAGATCAATAGAGTTTGATGGCTGTGATTTCATGATCTAACAAATAAGAAAAAATTTTTGAAAACAGACTCCCAACTAAAAGAATGCTTTTAAGAATAAACCAAAAATGTTGATAAAACATATGCATTTCCCAAATGTGGAAATCAGTCCACTCACAGACGAGCAGTTTAAAAGCAAGCAGACTGGCACAGCCTAAGTGTGGAAACATTTTCATACTGAATATTTATACCAAAGGAACTTCACTCTGAAATGCAAAGGTATGCCCTCCTCCTCAGAGGATGGCAAAACTAGAGAATGAGTGTGTAGGCACTTTTCCACAGGAAATAAAGCTTCCTCTTTCTGGAAACTCTCCTCCCCTAAGCAGAAATCTTTACCCTCACCCAGAAAGCTCAGTCCTCTCGCTGTCCTTACACAATTGTCAGATGAAAGGAATACCTTTATGGTCTTGGCATCCCAAAATCACATTGGGTTCATCTGTAAACTTGACTTGCTCACACCACTGTCCTTCAGAATGAAAAGGCAGAGTCTCTGATCCAATCAAAGGTGAAAGCGACCTAGATCTCATATTGGATGTAAGAGATGGGCTGGGAGGGTGAGATGATGGTGGCCTCTTTGCTTTGGAGAATTTTTTTTGTTGAGAACCTTTCTTCATTGCAAGAATAAAGCCAGGTGGCCATCAAAACCTGCAAGGGTTTTCAAAATACTTAACAACATTATTTTTTTCCAGAATTATTAAAACCATTAAATTATTTCTACAGCTTTCAAGACCACAAAGTTATAAACTCAGAGGCTATAGATGGGAAGATCTGTGCTACCCTACCCTGACAGAGCAGACACTATTCTGAACATCACTGATGACCTGCCACAGGGAAGAGATACCTTAAGAGCGTCTACTACTGACACATGCTCCAGACAGAAGTATTACTGTATTTCTATTCTCAGGCTGATTGGACTAAGCTAGTCACAAGGCCTCTTCTACACACCTAAAAAGTCCCAGGATGCAGAAAGCTAAAGACAAGAGGCAGTCTTTAATACTGATAGCTCTCTCTCTCTCCTGAAACAGTTCTTGTGCCTTCTGGGACACCACACTCTCCTGATATCCTCCCATATCTACCTGCCTACCCCATGGCCTTCTTTGTTAGCTCATTTTGTTCCTCTATTTAGCCTAATTTAAATATCAGTACTCCTCAAAGTTTCCTTCTAGTTTCTCTTTGATCTCACCTTGTCAATCTAATGTACATTCATGGTTTCCAATGCCACTTCTATACTAATATTGATATCTTCTATCTGATCTTTCTTGGAGCTCCAGAATCTTCTTCTCAATTATTTAATTGTCATCTCATTGACGTTCTAAACTTAACATCCTAAACTCAGTCCAAATAGTCTCCCTCCCTCCATTCCTTCCTTTTTTCCTCTCTTCCCACTCTATTCCTCTTCTAGTGTTCCCTCACCAGTGAACAGTGCTCAGAAATCTGAGAATCTTGCTAGATACTTCTCTCTTCCCTTTTCCCACACCCATTCAATCACTAAGTTCTATAGATTCTAACTTCTAAATATAGTTCATCTCCACGTTTGTCCACTCTACTCCAAACCCTCATCATACTACTATAGTCAGACTGTCAGAAGGTCTACTTAAAAAGCAAAACTTGCAGTCTGTAGTGAATACCTGTTGAGCCCTTCAAGGTCTCCCATGATCTGTTTCCATCTCTATTACCTCACCTCTATCATTCATTCTCTCTAATAAGGGTTCAGTCATACTGACCTCCTCACATATTTCCTGCTATCTCAAATGCTTGACCCCATTCTTTTTAACCATATTCATCCAGTCTTCCTTCACAGAGCAGCTCAATTGCTTAGTTGCTTCCTCAGGAAAGCTCTGCTAGCACTCACTAAGTGAAGTCTCCAGTCCAAAAGTTTATCAGTATTTTCTTCCTCAATCACACATTTATACATGTACATGATTGTAATGAACATCTGTCTCCCTACCAAATTGTGAGTTTCATGAGTTTGTTTTGTTTACCACCGTTTCCCTATTCTAGTAGTGCTTGGCACTTAGCCGAAATTTAATAAATATTTGTTGAATGAATGAGAGGTGTTTATTATCTTCCATTTGCCCTTCTCCCTTATTTATCAAGATATTGGTTCAACCTCCACAATATTTCTAAATTCAACTCTATCCATTTCCATTGCTATTATGTTAGGTCCATTATTCAGCATCTCTTTCTTCGACTATACTTTCCTAAGTAGCTTCCTTCCAATCTTCCTTTGCCTTACTGCTTAATCCATCCTCTTCCTCTGACCCAAAACAAAAAGAAGTTGGATGATTCACAGTCTATACCTAAACATTTCAATACTGCTTACAGGACCTGTCACAATCTATTCTCAACTTATGGCCTATTCTCTTACCTGTCCTCATCATGCACTCTATACTCAAGCCTGTCTTTTTATCATTATCTGAACCCATCATAAATTTTTACTCATGAAATTTCCTCTCCTTAAAATGGCATCTTCTATCAACTAAAATGTCACTATATTCATGAAGGCTTTCCAGAAATTCACATCCTGATGGTAAAACTAATCTTGTCTTCTTATCACACAGAATGTACCTCTATCAGAGGTACGAAAACATTTATATATTTTACTAAGTATTATTTCCTTGCCCATAATGCAGTATCCACAAGGAGAGGGACAATATCTGACCTCCAAGCAGCTCACTGGTATAAGTCATGAATGTTATATTATCTTACAAACAGAATTCAATATGCTTAGAAGCCATACTTTAAAGAGTGTGTTCCTGACATGTCTGTGTGTGTGTGTGTGTGTATGTTTGTGTGTGTCTTTGTGGCAGTTTATGGTACATAAACTGCACTTAAGTGTACAGTTCCATGAGTTAGTTTCCTTCCTTCCTTTTTTTACAGGCAGAGATTTAGGAAAGCAGAGACACATGTAAGAGAGAATGTGGGCCACCTTGAGAGCAGGAGACAGCCTCCATGAGTTCCTATATAATGAATACAAGCTGCATAATCAGTATCCAGATTCAGAAACAGAACATCACCAGAACACAGAAGCCCCCTCATGCCCACTTCCAATCACTGATACACACACGTGGATACTCACTAACCTGACTTCCAACACCAAATTCTAAACTGTTTTTGAATTTTACCTAAGAAATCATATAAAATAAATATATCTTTTATATGTCTTCTTTTGTTAAATATTACATTTCTAAAATTCATTCATGTTTGTCTAATGCTGTATGAAGACTGTGATCACTTCAAACTCTGGTGTCTTACTATGTTTAGTTGCTAAGCAAGACAGAGGCACTTTAGGGGTAAACTCCTATATTCATCAGGGAAAGAGCCAGTGCCCCTTTAAAAGACTATTAATGTCCCTTTGTGTTTTTTTGTTTGTTTGTTTGTTCAACTGAGACACTTTGAAGAAGCTTACAAGGAATCAACCAAGGTCACTCATTATTTTACATGACCTGGAATAAACTTTACTCATTATAAAATAGCATTCTCTCTTAGAAGCAGAGGGCATGTGATTATGACCCTCAACTAAACATGCTCAGGAAGGTGCTACCATCTTCCCTTTTAAAGAAGTGATTTATGACCTTGGACTGAACATGCTTAGGAATGTACCCATCCCTGCAGGTGCTTTCCTATCTGAATATGCAGAAGTTCTTCAATAAAACCCCTTTGCTTTCTTCAAGGAGACTGCTTCACACTCCAGTGTGTGGGAGGCCAATCTTACACGTGACTGAGTTTCACTCCCCGGCTGGGTGCTGAGGCTCTCAGTCACAGAAATGTGGCATCCTTTTTGGGTTTGAGGGTTGGTGTCTCCTGCATGGGTGTGTCTTGCTACAGCCCCATGGGTGAAGCTACGCTCACCTGTTCCTTTATAATATAACCCCTTGCCCTGTTTTAGGATAGAATCTTCCATGGAAGTGCCTTGTGTGTGTCCCCTTCTCTTACTGTGCCCTTGGGTGTGGCCTACCCCAGGTGTCAGTCAACCTGCTGACAGTGGACATCATGAAGATAGACTCAGTCCCCTGAAACCTAACCCCCTGCCTCATTTAAATAACTTCTCCTCAATAAAAGGAGTCAGCATGTGCTCTTGCACTCTCTCTCTCTCTCTCTCTCTCTCTCTCTCTCTCTCTCTCTGGGGACCCTTAAGGTCAGAGGAGCTGTCATAGGGACCCCAATATTTGTGTCTCTTGTGTGGTTATTTCGTGCAGCCCAGTTAGCCCAGTTTAACTAGAGTGACCCCTGAGCCTTTTAGTCGAGAGAACAGAAACCCGGCACCAGTGTTCTTACTTGCTGCAAGGAATAAACCTCTCTTTATTCTACTTTTAGGTTTTACTCACTAGCTTTTTTGCCTCCAAGGTGACAATCCATTTTTTTTCAGTAGTTTACTTATTGACAAAATAAATTTTATTAAAGGTTAGGTTTTCCAGAAGGAACTAAAGCAATTATTGTTAAATGAGACCTTGGTCAAATTCCTTTATTTTCCATGTAAGAAAATCAAGGCTCAGAATAGTGCTTGGTTAGTCACCATGCTAGCAACAGTAAGTTCTTCTAACAATAAATTGTTCACTGAAACTAATGTTTAGATCAAATCACATAATTAATCCAGTGGAATATAAGCTCTGTGAAAGTAGAAATATCATTAACTGATGTTCTGATGCCTGGAATACAGCCTATCGTAAAGAAAATAATTAATAGTTATTTTTAAAATTAGTCATAAAGAACACGAGGGTGATAAATATTATTTATCACCTTAACAAAGGGATATCTTTATGAGTGACATTAGTCCTCAACACAAAGATTTCTAATTGGCAAGGTTTTTCTACTTGCAATTGGCATCTGAAGTGGGTGGCAGTATTGTGGAACTGAGTCCTTAACCTGTGGGATCTGATACTACCTCCAGGTAATAATGTCAGAGTTGAATTAAATAAGAGGTCATGTTGCAGGTCCACTAGAAAAGTACATAGTGTGTGGGAGAAAAAAAAGCCTTACACATCTGGTATTGGAAGTATTATATTGCATGGTGTTTTAAGAGTAGGAAAGGCATTACTTTGGGTTTTTCATGTCTCTATTAACATGTAATAAACCTTCATAGGCTATACAGGCTGGGATTATGAAGATTATTTTTTTAAATGGTTGGGGCATATACAGTATATAGGAAAGAAATTTTCCATTAATAGAATCCATCAATATATTCAACGGATTAACCAGCATTTAGCAGATGTTATACTGTGCAATGCCCATACAGTCATTCTAAGAATGCTGATCTTGCTCAAAACATTTTTGGAATTCTTCTTTGGTTCTTCTTCTTCTTTCAGGTTCAACTTACAAGTCACACAAGAAAATAGGACACATCACTTCAGATATACACAGTAAACATGACTCCAAATAAATTTGTTTACATCTAAAAATCTAAGCCTCTTTGAAAACATGCTGACTTGCTAGAATTGAAGTTAATTCTAAAGAATGTTAGTGGTTAATATTTAATGAGGGCTTACAATTGAGATGAGCTCTTTATGCGTATCATCACATTGGAAGAACTATATATAACTCTATGAAACAGTTGTCATTTTAAAAGATGAAAAGTTAATCTGTCCAAAATTCCATAACTAATTGCATAAGCCAAGACTTGAATCCTGACCTAATTCCAGAACCCATGCTTTTTATTACCATGTTATACAACTTGAGTTTTTTGGAATTCATATTATGTTTGTTTTGTTCTCTAGAACCCAGCATGAGATCACCTTACACATAAATAAGTACCATTAAATGACCTGGATAAATGGATGACATGAACCATAAAATCAATAACTGAGGGAAAACTAGGAAATTTTATACTGAGACAGGATCACTGAAGTCAAGACCTAGTCAACTGTAATCAACTCATTTCAAGGGAACAAAAACCTACCACATTTGTTTTTTAAAAGTTAATTATTATTATTTGAGCTAGGGATGTGGCTCAAGCGGTAGCATGCTCGCCTGGCATGCATGGGGCGCTGGGTTCGATCCTCAGCACCTCATAAAATAAAGATGTTGTGTCCACCAAAAACTAAAAAATTCTCTCTCCCTCTTATTAAAAAATTCTCTCCCCCTCTCTCTCTTAAAAAAAAAAAAGTCAATTATTAGGGCTGGGGTTGTGGCTCAGTGGTAGATCACTTGCCTCACCTTTTTGAGGCACTGGGTTCAATTCTCAACACCACATATAAATTAATGAATAAAATAAAGATCCATCAACAAATAAAAAAAATTTTAAAACAGTTAATTATTGTCTCACAGACATAAATTATAATATGGCAAGCTGCCTCACTCTGGCATCCTAGAATACTCTTTAAACGCTTTTTATGGGACTATACTTTTTCTTTCATTTCCTCATGTGTAACTATTCATATGCATCAGACCCTGCGCCCCCTCACTGGGCAGCCCTGTCAATTCACATAACTGCTATTTATGCCATCACCACAGGCTTTTAGTCCTAATTTCAAAAGTGTGGTAAACAATTTTTATGTCCAATATCATACCATTTTCCGAGGAAAAGCTTGTTAGTAATTACTACTGATTCTGTGCTAAGCTGAATTCCTTCTAAATAAGAGTACTCTCAAACTTGAGAGCTGAGAGGCATGCATTTAGGTTAATTTTTTTTTTACTCCTAAATTAAATGAATGAATGGATATAATTTTCATAAAGGTGATGAATTTAAAAACAAAAGCGGAGAGAAACAGGGCCCAGTCATACTTTTTTATATCTTCCTTAAACCTAAATGACAGATTATAAAACTGGAATAAGTGTATGCTACATACTAGAGATAAATATTTAAAAATTTTTGTTAGTTCTTAAAAAGCATCCATATTTTTATTATTTTGTACTGTCTCTCTCCAAATTCTCAAAATACTGACCAGAACTCCTCCCTAATATCCTAATGATCATCTCCCCAGATTATCATGAAGTCCTTTGTTCCCTGTTTATCAGTATAACTCAGTCTTAATCATTAACAGAGTTTAAAATATTAGAATGGATTTCAGAAACCTAGATCAGCTCTTTCCTTTTATAATTGTAATATGATTAATATGCTTGGATAAATGGATGACACGAACCATAAAAACAATAAACTGAAGTTACCATGCATCCCCAGACCCCCTCCCTGGGTTGGCAGAGCTCCTATAAAGGCAGCTCATTAAAACAACAGCTATCTCATTGAATAGCTAACTATCAAGTGAACTGTTCTTAGGCATTTACTGGGTCTGAGAATGGCTGGCATTATTTTAGAGACTACTGTCTTAAGATAGTAAATCTTCAATAACTTTTTAAAAATTTTATTGGTTCTTTTTAATTATACATAACAGTAGAACCCATTTTGACATAATTATAGAAGCATGGAATATACCTTGTTCTAATTCAGACCCCAGACCTCTCCTTCCCTTCCCTCTCCCTATCCCCTGTTCCCTTCCCCCTTCAACAAAAATTTTAAGATAATAATGAGGATGGAGTTTGATCCTAGGATGTCGTCTGAAAGGGGGAAAAAAAATCAACCCATGGGAAACGAGAAAACAGCTGAAAAGCAGAGGTAGAAGAAGTGAAGGAGCAAAATAAAGAGAAAACAAGTGAAAGAGGCCTAGAGCTGGAGACACATTGTATAGGCACAGAAGATGGTCTGTGGAGCAAGAGTGCTGACAATCAGAATCACATGACCAGGCTCCAAAACACTGGCATCCAGCCTCAACAATCCCAAACACCTAACCTGATCTAACAACCCCATCCATTACAGTTTCTCACAGGTGGTAAATTCTGTTGACACGCAGTCTTTCTTACCACTCCTAGCTGTCCATCTTCTTCTCGGACCTCCAAATGAGGCAGAGCTTGACAATCCCCAAAACTTATTCTCTCCCAACAGACCACCCAAATACACACCTACTTTTTTTTTCCTCCTTATTTTTTTTGAGAGAGAGAGAGAGAGAATTTTTTAATATTTATTTTTTAGTTTTCAGTGGACACAACATCTTTATTTTATTTTTATGTGGTGCTGAGGATCGAACCCAGCGCCCCGCGCATGCCAGGCAAGTGTGCTACAACTTAAGCCACATCCCCAGCTTTCACCTATTTTTTTGACTGTGATGTCCCTCACTACACTACATCCTCAGTCCCTTAATTGTGTGTCAGGGGCCTCCATGAACAGGAGCTGAGCACAACTCTTAGCCTTGAGCAACGGAGGTGTAGAACTGGCTTCTGCTCACAGCGCAAAAGCAGATGGACCTCACTTTCACTTGGCAAGGAATTATACAGCTCTGGGAGTGAGGCTCACCACCCTGAAACCCAATCCCTTGCCTCATTTGGGTGGAACTTTCTCAAGTGTCTTCCCCTCAATAAATAGGATGGTTTCAGGCATGCTCTCTCTCTTTCTAACAGTTAGAGAGCCATCCCTGATTCCTGCAAGCAAAAGGTATTTCTGTATTGAAATATTCTTTCGCCATTTTCTTAGTTATTAATGTAGCCAGCTCTTGTGAACCCAGCTCAGGTTGATAACTGTGTTTCTATCAGTTTCCTCCAATTCTGCGTCATTTCATAACCTTGGATCTCCTGAAAATACTCTTCAACCTTCTCCAGCCCTGTAAATACTGACTGCCATTCTTCTTCAAAGTCCTTAACTCCAGCACTCTTCCTAAAGCCAACTCCCCATTCTATGTTGTCAACCTCTCTGCTTCTCATCCCTTTCATCCCATTCTGGCTGCCAAGTTTTCCCATAAATTCGGTTCCAGTTCCCTAATGTAGTACTTCTCTCTCCCACTTCTCTAAATTTTTAATACCCCACACCAACACTTCTATATCCAT